CCCTTCTTATAAATTGGCACCAGAACACTTTTCCTCCACTCATCAGGCATCTTGTCAGTCTCTAAAATTCTGTTAAACAACCCAGTCAGGAAATTTACTGCCACTTCTCCTAAACACTTCCATACTTCCACTGGTATGTCATCAGGACCAACTGACTTTCCACTCATCCTCTTCAGGGCTTTTCTAACTTCATCCTTTCTAACCTGATCTACCTCCTTCCTACTAGTCTCTGGTTCCTCGTTTCTACTTTCCCTTTTGGTTGTAATTTAGTTGTAAATGCTTATAATTTCCCCTAAAAATAAAAGTTTCCCAAAACTGAATAGAAAAGCTCTAATTTACCTTGAAACGTGAGGTTCCATAGTGTAGAAGTTAACAAGCCTGCCTCGGAATTTGGCGCCTCCAAGTGGAAGCCTGTTGCAGCACATCTCCTGTGTACACAAGAATTAACCAATAAATAAAAGTTCAAATAATTACTTTAATAAATAATAAAAAACTTTCATCCTTTCACCTATTATGCTAATAAATTCCCAAAAAAGTCTGTAAAAATAAGTTTCCTAAAATTCGTATGTGTGTCAATGTGTTATGTCCATTTACGTGCTTAAGATTTTTGCCTCCTTATCTTCTAATCTTTAAATTCTTAAAAATGTATTTTTGTTACATCAGCCACTGTCGTTAAGACGTTTTGTGATAGTTGAAGTTTTAAAAAATAACCCAGGGGGCAGCAGTTACAACAGGCTCCACCCACTGATTTTAATGTCTCCAAATACAGAGTATTACATGACTCTAACCCATGCCTAGACTTTGTTATATTTTATTTTTGCATAAACAAAAACAAATAGTATTGAATTGGTGCTAATTCAATGATTTTCAGACATTTTTATGTTCATTTACATTGCCTCATAATAATAATCATAATCTCATACGTCTGTTTTAGACATTATTTTCATGCTAGGTTATGGTTTTATTCACAATTGTAATACAAATATACAACAGAGGGGTTATTTTGTGTGAAATTTGCATTCTGGGAAACTTACGAGAACTGCCACACCACTATTTGATTATTTTTATAAATATAAATGTATATCTATATAAAGTACATGACTAGACATGTTTTACACATTGTGAAAAAATATTGCACAATGAGTCATGTTTGGTAATTTTATTTCAATGTTTATATCGTTTTTAACTGAGCTGTGATGTACTTTTTTCTTCAGCTTAAACTTTTAGAAATGAAAAAACCAATGGAAACAAATTGATTTAATTTCATTTTACAACTAAATTACAACCAAAATTAATAAACCTTAACTTTTTTCAACTTCAACTTCATGATGTTAATTGTGTATTTGGAGACAATAAACTGAATGATCCAAAATCGGTTATTTTTATTCAAATATGGTATTCATGCTTTTTTATTTAAATTTATTCATTTATTTTAAATCCAAGCAGCTTGTGTGTTTGCTTGTACAGCGCTTCTACAAAAAGGCTGCAGCGTTTGTGCTTCGTGCGGTGTCCAAACACTCTCCAGCCCTGGCCCAGGCTGTGGTGTCCTGCGGCGGAGTGGATGCTCTGGTCCTCTGTCTGGAGGAGTTCGACCCCGGGGTGAAGGAGGCCGCAGCCTGGGCTCTGGGCTTCATCGCACGGCACGACGCACGTAAGAACAGACCATAATGTCATTTTAAAGTATGAAAGTATGAAAGAAAGAAAGAAAGAAAATTACTTGTGTGACTCGATTCTTCTGCTTGCAGTGTTAGCACAGTCCGTCGTGGACGCGGGCGCGGTCCCGCTGCTGCTCATGTGTCTGCGGGAGCCTGAAATTGCCCTCAAACGCATCGCCTCCTCCACCATTAGCGACATCTGCAAACACGCGCCCGAACTGGCGCAGACGGTGGTGGACACTGGAGGAGTCGCTCACATGGCGCAGATGATCCTCAACCCTGACACAAAACTCAAGGTTAAGATGCGGATGACAGTATTTACAGGATCACTTTTCACAACTTTGAATTTCATTTATTTATATATATTATATATATATTATTACTGCAAAAGAATTTAGGCCACCAGGTTTATTATCATATAACCTTATATTGAAGACATGTTGAATAAAGTATAAATTATTAGCCTTAATGAGGATTTAAAAAAATAATTGAACAGAGTTGTTGTATTTCTACAACTTCATGATGCAAAAACTGCAAAACATTCTACACAGTAACTATCTAAACAATACATTTATATTTTAATCAATTAGTAAAAATATTAATATTAAGAAACAGTAATAACTTGACAAAGACAAAGTCTACCTTCTCTTATTTTTGCAGTTAAAACTTGTGTACGGTTTTTTAAAACATTGTGTAAATGTTTCTGTTGTTGCTACACACTGGTTGTTACGTTAAAATGAAAACAGGAAAGGCACATTCACTCTCCCCCACCCTTTGTTTCTTCCCCATTTGTCTTCGTCTGCTCTGCTCCTGCATTACCTCTTCTCTCTTCTCATGTGGTGCAAGTCAGTGTTCTGTTCTGTGTTCCCTGTGTCCTCAGAGGCAGGTCTTCTCAGCTCTAAGTCAGATCAGCAAACACTCAGTGAGTCTGGCAGAGATGGTGATCGAAGCCGAGATCTTTCCTGCTGCGGTGGCCTGTCTGAAAGATCCAGATGACTACGTCAGGAAGAATGTCACCACTCTGATGAGGGAGGTGGTCAAACACACACCGGAGGTGATGAACATGCACGCGCACACATACATACACCCACACATCTTCCCAAAGGCACCTGTGCACATATTTCTTCCTGCATCTTTATTATTGTCTTTACGGTCGAGAAACAAGAACTAACAACAACAAGATCCAAACTAATAAAACTCTGCTTCCTTAAATATTCCTCTAAATAGGATCACAGGATACATCCTTGTTCTACATTGTCACCATTTTTTATTCACAAGAGTCAAATGTTAACAATAATGTTCACGTCTCTTTTTCCTACCTTATCTCCTTTGACATTCTTCCTTGTTTCCTCGATTTATTTTTGCCGACTTCTTTCCTCCCCCTATCTGACTGATTCTATCTATGTGTTTCCGTGTTTGTTTGTTTCCTTCTATTAATTCCATTTCTACCTACATTACTTGTCTTTTTCTGATGATTTAATAAACCCAACAGCTAACTAATGGAATGTTTGTCTGTATATCAGTGTGCATGCTCCGCTGGTGCGTGTGCGAGTGAAGGTGAAGCACCAGATACAATCAAAAGTGCAATCAGGTGACATGCCAGGTGTGAGTAGATGGGGGAGGTCCTCAGGTGTGACGCATCTGTGATGATGTTGCAGCTCCGCCTCCAAGGATCCGGCGAATGACATCCTCCCAACACAATACCTAAGACCAACCCTAGAGGCCGCCACACTGACTACTTTTTAACCTGTTCCCTTACTTCTCCTCTCTCTGCTGTACTACACTTAATGTCTCAATGGTTTTGTTGTTGTTGTTTCCTCACCACCATCCTTCCTCAAGCTCCATTTGTGAGGACCTGCTGTGTAAAGAAATCAGTCACACAGACATGTAAAACTCATAAACACACAATAATGTATTTATCTGCTTGTTTGTTGTTTTTCAACAGCTGTCTCTACTGATAGTAAACTGTGGTGGCATGGCAGCAGTAATAGATTATCTGGGCGAGTGCCAGGGCAGCCTGCGTCTGCCAGGGATCATGATGCTGGGATATGTGGCAGCTCACAGTGAGAGTCTGGCCATGGCTGTCATCATCTCCAGGGTGTGTTTAAATCTCCCTCTTTATGTCACAGCTACAGCTAACCACTAAACCCCAGGACATTCCACCAGGCCCAGTATGTAGGTCATAATATAAACTGCTGCAGCTGTTACGCTGTGTACTCTCTGTCCTGCAGGGGGTGCCCCAGTTGGCCCTCTGTCTCTCTGAGGAGCCTGAACATCACTTGAAGGCGGCCGCTGTCTGGTCGATCGGTCAGATTGGACATCACACACCTGAACACGCCAAGGCCGTGGCCACTGCTGGTCTGCTTCCCAGACTGCTGCAGCTCTACATGGACGCCAGCAGCTCAGAGGATCTGCAGGTCAAAGTAAGAGCAGCATTAGTACATAATGATGATAATATAAACAGCCACTATACGCACAATAATACCATAACTGTACGGTCCATATATACATTATCAGGTAAAGTACTTTTAACACAGGTACACACACATAAAAGCAGGGAAACTCTAGCTGGAAAATAACCTCATTAACAAAGGCTGTGTTCCATTTGGCTGCCTCAGTTTTTGGTTCACCTTAGCTGAGGCTTTTTTTGACATAGATGTGGTCACATGATCACCTAGGTAATTCACCTACTGTGCATTTTGTTGGTTGCCTCATAAATAAATCTATATATATATTTATTAATTATATGTCATTATTAAATATAAACCTAAAATACTTCATCAAACCAGCTAATATATATATATATTTAACATATGTGAAATTTGTATATACTATACATTAGCTGCTTTCATGCTGTTTATATATATATGTGTGTGTGTGTGTGTGTTTAATAATAGTAAAAATAGTTCTTTAACACTGAGATCAGGCAAAATAGGTTGTAAACAAATTAGCTGTGTGTTTCTGAACCTTAAAAATATTCACATCTGATCATTATTATTATTAATTAGTTGTGTAAAAAAATAATTTTATACATTTTGTCTTGAAATCGCTCAGTAGATGAGAACTCTAAGGTAAGTCACGCTTTAGCATGGGGCTGCTAAATATTTAGACGTTATATTTATATATATTTTCCTATTCAGAACTGTTGAAGTATGGCAGTTCTCAGTGAGGGACTGCTGTCTGATGTTCCCTTGTCCTTTTCCTCTCATAGAGTAAAAAAGCTCTGAAGGGTATCCTACAGAAATGCACTGACCTGCCAACTTTGCAGCCACTCCTCTACGACGCTCCCAGTAACATCCTCAAACACGTGGTGTGCCAGTTTAGCAAAGTGAGTCAGTCTGCAGCCGCTCCCATGTATGAACCAGAGGCTAACGTGAGGTCAGTGACAGTTGTCGGAATGTGAAAGGAATCAAACCCTGTTCTTTTCTGACCCTGGTCAAAGGTGCTGCCCCATGACAGTAAGGCTCGGCGTTCCTTCGTGACCAGTGGAGGTCTGGCCAAGGTGCAGGAGATCAAAGCCGAGCCTGGCTCTCGTCTGCAGGAGTACATCAACACCATCAACAGCTGTTTCCCAGAGGAGATAGTCAGGTAGACACAAAACGACTGGACTCACTTTGATCCGACCTGACACTCGATGATCAGATCAGTCATAACTTGTCTCATGTAACTGGTGCATCAATGTGAGGCCTGTTAATGGCAACAAAAATATATTTGTTCAAACATAATCATCATTTAAAAACGACAAAAACAAAAGGTCAGAATATAGTAAACTCATGTCAAATAGTTGAAGCTAAAGACTGACAGTAAAGTATTAACACAATCAATATAATCAGTTTATTTCTTTCAAGACTACTTTCCTTTTTAGTGCACCAACTTAATGGAATTACTTTTTGGATGTTAAGATTTTAGTTTTAAAATAATCTTTTTTCTTTTCAGTTATTTAGAATATTTTATATCATTACTTTACTTGTCTACTTGTTACCCTTGTATCTGTATCCTTGTGCCTCAAAGGGATCATTCCCATGGTATGATAAAACTTTATTTAATAATAAGATGTAAATATTCTTTTTACTTCAATATTAATTTCCCTTCTTTCTAACACATACATTTGGTGAACATTTACCTCTTTCTTGACTGTTTTCTCATCCTCTTGAGCTACATTCTCTTTCTTTACTGTTTTCTCATCCTCTTGAGCTACATTTCTTCCATCTTTTGTTCCACTGAAAAATTATTTACTTTTCCACCAGATCTCCAAACTTCCAGGTTGTCTTCAACTGTCTTCTGCTCTCACACAGATCGTAATGTCATCTGCAAGAAAAAAACAAACAAAACACACAAACAAAAGTTAAAAAAAAGTTACATAAGGTGAATGTACATAGGCTCAAAACCAAAATTGGTGTCAGCAACAAAACAAGACTTGACCAAATACAAAACTACACTTCAGTGAGTGTGGCACACTGTGTTCACAATGTACATGTGTGTATTCTTCTGTTTCAGGTACTACTCCCCTGGTTACTCAGAGGTGTTATTGGAGAGACTGGAGAAATTTGAGCCTGACACCTTCAAGTCTTAATGAAACTTACGGACCTCAGAGAAGACAATAAACACAACACTAATATTTTTGCTAGGGAAAATCAACTTACCTACTAGACAATAATCTGTCAACACCGCTAAAGATCACTAGAGGCTTCCATAAGGAGGTCAAAGCTTAGTTTAATGACAGTATAGCAGACCACTAGGTTGAAGGTAATATATGTGTTGACTAGAGACATGTTTTGAGAAATCTCTGATTGGTGTTTGACCATCGACACAACCATGTAACTTACAATAACACAATGTGAAGACCTTGAGTCAAAAATCATGTAGAAGTGAAGTTTTTGATAACAGTGAATGACAACTTATAAATCTCTGCTTTTTTAAACATACGGCAGCTTCTCATTACTGTGTTTAGGAACTGGAGAAATGATAGGACAGTCATGGTATTTACATTTTACTATAATGGAAAATAATAGACACCAAACAATTTTAGAGTCAAACACACAATGATTGTTTTAACTCAGGAAGACTGTTAATTGGATGTATTTTGTGATAATTTTGTAATTTTGTGTTAATGTTAAAATCATTACATTACAATCCAAATTATTACTAGAGTCAGATAAATGTTTTAATTTTTACCAGTGTTTATGCTTTTAAAGAGTTAAAATGCCTATAAGTCCACCTCGGTAATTCCAAGGTTTTATTCCATTATTTTATCTGATGCATCAAAAATGTTGAATTTGTGATTAAATCTGAGTGACACTTGTTTTGGACTTTTTCAACCTCAGCATTTCAACTTTTTAAACATGAGGAATAAAGTGGAAAGGTAAAAGAGAACATGAGTGGCAAACATTATAGTAAAAAGGCTAAAAGGTAGCCAATCTAATAAAATAAAAATGAAAAAAAAAACAAGACAAGTTTAAAAAACAACAGACAACTTATAGCTGATAAAAGTAAATATTTGTTCAAAGGTTCCTTCAGAAGTTTAGATGTACTGTAAAGTAAGTGAAATACATATAATAACTAAATGTTAAAACGACAAAAGTAGCGAAATAGCTATTTAGACAACGTAGCATAGAATATATTGGGTTAATTAGCTTAATTAAGGTTACCCAATAGCTAGGCATAAAAACAGACAAAAAATATACATTAATTAATGCTGTAAATTAAAAAATAACGTTGATTAATTATCATTAACTAAAAATAAATTATTTAAGCTTTCATTAAAACCCCTCAAAATGTGCTAAATATTAACCAAAGTCAGACCAGATAGACGTAACTACTTAAATATAAATAATAATATTAAATATTACGACTGATGAGTTTAGACAATACATGGCTCAACGTTGGGTAAATATACTACTAATATACTATATTTATACAGAAAAATGTAGTTATAACATAAACTAAGATTTCAATTTGGTAACGTGACGAAATCTGACTACGCTTGATGCACAGCAAGAGAGAAAGTAGAAAATACATGTATTTTTTAAAACAATCTATACTTAAGCTTTTACATATTGCTCTGTTGGATCACAATTCCAGACGTTAACGACAATAAAATATAAAAAAACATGAGTAAATGAGACGTGCGTTTACTTGCCTGAAACAGTGGGCTGCCCTCTGGCGGCCGGTGCTACACCGTGCAGCCTCAGCGCGTGGGCGTGTGCACACGCGCAGCAGCAGCTCTGCCCTCTTTTGTCCGCGCACATTTTAGCGTCCGTTGTCCGCCTCCAGCTGCCACAGCTCCTGTGCAACAAAAAAAGAAAGAAACTCAGGTTAACGGGTCACGTCTTTACACACGCTGGACGTCAACGTGAAGAAGCCTAGAAATACGTCATCTCGGCAAATGTATTCGATCAACAGTTAAATTGCCGACAGTTTGATTTCCCTCGCGTTCTCGAGTGCACACGAAGATAAGAATCTACCTTAAAACTAAGGCATTTACCCTAAACAAAGCAAATGTATAAAATAAGATTACCTTCCATTATTTATCTGCACCTTACCGTATTATTATGGAATCTCTATGAGGAATTAGGTTGCTGAGACTTACTGGGAAAAAAAAAAAATCAAGACGAGTTTCCGCGCACTTACCGTTTAAATTAAATAGAAATACAAATAAAATACACCAGTTTAAATACCATAGTTGACAGAACGTAATAGAATATTTTTTTATTATTATATTAAATTGAAACGATTTTCAACAATGATTCGTTCTCCCCTTTGTTTCCTGTTCGGCAAGTAATTGCTAAAATTATTTTTTTTAATTTTTTCAAATCAAAATTAATTTATGCAAATGAAAAAAAATATTCACAGTAAATTACGTTGGATCATTACACCGGGTATAAGGTCAATAATTTAAAATATTTGTGCAAATCATAATTTATCATAATTTATTTAATAAATTATGATTAATGCATGGACTCAAAATTACAATATGGACCAAATAATTCAATCACGTATCTAGAAGTAACGTTTCCATCAGTTTCCTCTTGTGGTCTTTGTCCTTTTCTCAAATACTTTCTAATAGTGTTTACATTTTCTAATAATTATTTATTATATTTTTCCTTTCTAATAACATTTACGTGTAGAATTAGCTGTAGCATCAAGTAAATCAATCAAAGATGCAGGAAGTTTTTAAGCAGAGCAAGTGCTTTAATTGGTTTAAGTGAAGACTTAGATGGGATGGAGTGTATTACCATCATTAAAAGTGAGGGACATTGAAACATTGAACATACATTAATTTGGCCTTTCTGCCACTGAAAGACTCTCTCTCTTTCTCTCACACACACACTCACATCACTTTAACCACTGCTATAGTCTTAGATGTCTGCTTGAGAAGCCTGAGCGTTTTCTGCAGGGGAAGGTTTTCCTGGTTTGTCTGGCTGCTTTTTGACCTCATCATGCAAACTCTACTACTTCTTAGCATTTAAAAATTGTTTTCTTTCTTTATTTTCTTTAACATTAAAGCCAAAGAGAAATTGTCCACCACGTCTGCAGATTCTGCCTTCTTATGTGCATTTGACAAAATCTAAAAATTTCCCTTTAACACTGCAGCCTTGTTTCACTGCATCAACTCCTATAGGTAAAAATAATACAAAACAAATTTTAAACAGACACTTTACACCAAACACAATGTTCTTCAAGCACATGTTGTGATTTCAGAAAGTGGTTTTTGGCAAGTTCACGCTGGCAGCTGTAGGGGAGAGCAGCACTGGAGGCGCAGTTTTGTAGAAGGGTTGAAGTCTGGCTTCATTGAAATTGCAAGAAATCCAGAGTTTGTCTTAGAAAAGATACCACTTTCCCAACATGCACTGCTCTGTTTCCTACATCTGCAAATGCAAAAGCCTGCCAGACCAAATGGAGCAAAGTAGACTGGAAGTTGACTGCTTCCCCAAGTTCTGTTTTCCTTACCACGTTTTCTGTATATAACAAAAAAAAAAAACAAAAAACAAACAAACAAAAAAACAAAAAAAAACACACACACACACACACACAAAACAACAAAAAAAACCACTGAAATATTACCTGATCAATGACTTGTAATAATTAAGTGAGTCCCTGTTATTAAAAAAAATGAAGCTAAATTAGCCAGAGCATCTGGAATATCATTATGAAAAAAAAAAGTGTGTACATCACTGTGAAATTTTGGACAAACACTGAATAGCAAAATCACATTAAGAAACAGGGGACAATAAGGAAATGTCAATGCCTCCACAGTTATTCCTCATCAATGCTAGGACAGTGGGAGAAAAGAAGACCTCAGTCACAGGAGAATAGAAATAAAGAAAGACAGGTGGTTCTCAAAGGATGGGAGTCACTGGTAGCATTTTTTTCCTACTAGGGCTAAATGCAAAAAAATGAAAAATTACAGATGCAGTAGCTCTAATATTAACTGAATACATATGCAAAAACTGTATTCTGGTTGCAGTACTGCAGCTTACCATTAGGAACTAAATAAGATGTTTTATGTGATGATTTAGTTAGGCTCTGGATTCTGATTTTGTGAAACTAATCTGCTCTAAGTAACTGCAACTGTGCAAACAGACCCCACTCCAGAATTTTAATGTGGATCTGTTCCACTAGAGTCTGTGTGTCACAAGAGGTGATGAACATCTTGTTTTTACCACCGTCTTAAAAATCACTAATCAATTTACCCAACCTATGGAAGCAAGATAACATTTAAAAGAACTGATGCCCCAGTTTTATCTAGTATTAAAGCTGCTATCCAGTCCCGCAATCCCAATAATGGCCCACAATTTGAGAACACCCAAAAACAAAAAACAATTTTAACAGGATTAAAGAAAAAAAGTGGGGGGGAAGGAGGGATGAAAATAATGTGTTAAAAAACATTATTAAAATAAACCTTTAAATTGGTTTTGTTTCAAAAAAATTACAAAATATAAAATTAAATTATTTGGAGTATAAAGGCACACATCTTGCACAGTGTATACAATGGGAAGAAATCACTATCCAAAGCATGAAGGGGACAACTTTACGTCAAACACCACTCACAAATGTGGTAAAAGTGGAGACACTTTTTACAGTAGGGGGCGACAGAGTTTAGTCGTGTGGTTTGCAAATCTTTTTGAATTTTTGTACAAACACATGCACCACAATTCTTCATTTACCACAGCATCATTACTCACACTCACACGTGGCTCCTTTTTTAAATACATATAATAAATTTCATGAGTAAAATCCAATGTAAAAATATAAATGTGAATATAATCTATGATATCTACGCAAACATATTGCAATGGAAGCTTTTTGCATGGGTAAGGACAGTCAAACAGGACGATTTAACTCATTTTAGTTGGTTATCCAGAGGTGATACACAACGTTACTCACGCACAACATCTCTCACTGACTGACACACACACACACACACACACACACACACACACAAGTATATTGCATTTCCCTTGTTAAGACCACGATCAACGAGTGGGGATCAGATTCGTAACATTTGGTTCCTTTCCTCTTGTGCAAAATATACAAAAAACAAACAAACAAACAAAAAAATAGACAAAAATACAACCACATCAAGGTAAAACTGCCAAATTCAAACACAGATAAACCACCTTTAAGAAATGTCAACAACAACAACAACAACAACAACAACAACAACGTGTAACAGACTCACAGCTGAGGTCAGAGAAGAGAATGATGCTGTTGGTGTTGAACAGCTGACACATCTTTACAACTGCACAGACTTTTCCTCACCTCTCTCCTCCCTGTGTATTTTTTTTTCTCTTTCTCACTCCTCTTCATAAAAAAAAAAAATCTGAACACTGACTCAAACACACCGTACGCCATCACTGGTGTGTGTTGGTCTGATGCTGGAGGTAAACGGTCTTTTGTTTGCCCTGAATGCACAAGTAGGGCTGTCACTTTTTCCAAGAACAAAAGTCAAAGTGATCCTCTAAAACACAGTAGAATTTCAAAGATTTTAAAATCTACACCACAGCTGCCTGATAAAGCAGCGTGTCAAAGAGAAGCAGGCACAGAGGCATTATTATGGTAATTGAGCAGCACAAAGGTAAAAAAAGAAGTCCAGTTTAATTTTAGGTCTGGTAAAACTCCCCAATATACCATTGTATTTGTTGGCCGAGGAAGACTGAAATGCTTTCTTGCTAACAAGTTAACAACATATTAGTTTGTACTAAACCAAAAAGAGCAAACTGTATAATTTCAGCCAGTATTGCTGTATGTATAAATTCAATGTTTATTTCCCAACTTTCCCAGGAAAACAGCCAACTTACAAACACAACATGATCTTACAGTGTCTAAAATGGAGTTTCATTAAAGTTATCTTTAAAAAACTGTAAGATGTTCAATTTCTGTTTGATTCAAAATACATTTGTCACCCTTTTCTCCTCTGCATTCTAACAATTGATCAAGCACTACATAAAAAGTGACAGCCCCAACTGCTGGACCCAAAAATGGACGTGACGACACTACAAAGGACTTCTGCGAGGACTGGATAACTTTCAATATATATTCACTGTCCATGTACAAAAAGCCTGACTTTTAAGAAGTGGCGTTTAAAACTCTGATTCTAAGAAAGATCAGTTCTTTAATTCCTTGTTGAACAACACATAAGGGAACAAGAGCATTAACCTCTTAGCAACGTAAAAGTGCAACTTTTTTGTTTATATTTTATGAGTAAGGTGCTGATGGCAACGGAAGTGCTAGGCTACGGCTGTTGTTTCGATCAGAGGAGCATTACCGAGAAATACAGTTACTCAACTCAGTCACAGGAACAGAAATCATGACTAGAAGAACAATGCCTCAATCTGTTAAGAGCAAAAATGACATTAAACAGAAGCCTCTTCCTCTTCTTATTTTTTTTCCTCAGTCACATCAGGTGGCTGTGCATCACTACAAAGCAAGGATCAAGACAGTGCAGGAGAGACTCTGTGGTGCAAGTGCAGGAAAGAAGCGCGACGACTTATTGCGACAAAAGAATTCATCTCAGCCGTAGAGAAATGTGGGATTGAACATTTCATTATTTATAATCTGTACAGGTGAAGAAATGAGAGGATAAGAGCCTGGAGGTGAGTTAAGGAGAAAGAACTAAGACAAGTTTGTTTTTTCAGGAGGAGGGATGGAGAGTTTCTGGCTGTTGGCCTATTGGAAGACTGCCTTCTACTTCCTGAAGAAAAAGCAATTGCATCAAGCGAGGCTCAACGTTGTTCCTTTCTTTGTTCATTCCACTCGACTTTATCCCTGAAAGTGGGACTTGTGTCCTAATCTGTTTTTTTTTTTACATTCTGTACAATTTCAAACCTTCCTCAACCTGCTTCTGAACACCACGATTAAAACACAAACATCTACTTATTAAAAAATATTTCAGGCTGCTGAACATTAGAGGCAATAAAAAAAACATTGCTGCAAAAACAACCACAGTCAAAAGAAACAAAATTGTTTTAAAAAAAAAAAGTGTAAAAGTACTGACTTATACACATGCTTTTAACACCCTTGTCATCCAAAGAAACACATCAAGAAAACTGAGAGGAGAGGTTAAATGTAAACGAATGATGTTTCTCTTTTTAGCTGCAGAGTGTGGCACTCCACTGACAGAGTGGAGCAGAGTAGGAGGAGTGGAGAAGAGAAGGGACAAGTGGGAGAGGTACAACACTATTGCTGCCGGTAATTTTTCATCCCCTCTATTTTTTCTATTATTCTCTCCGTCACTTCTCCTCTCTTGCCCTCTCTCCCTCCCTCCCTCTCTCTCTACCTCCCTCCCTCCTGGTGCCCCTGTGGCCCCTGTTGCTCCTGGAGGCTATGACAAGATAGTGTTGATAAAATCATAAAACCTCTTTGAGTACTGCTCAGGATTCACTGTGGAAATTTCTGCTCCGGCCTGCAGAGAGAAACATAGAAATCAGTGATCAGTGTGTTAGCAGCTCAGAAAGAAAGCAGAAAGAAAAAAAACGAATCCCCCAAAAACGTTAGAAACACACCCCGTGTTTGACGGTCTTTGCAGCATGTGCGGCTTTCTTCTTGGCATCATAGTGCTGTAGGATATCTATGACAGCCATGAAGTAAACCTCCTTCCGGGGAGCACCTGAATTAGAAGACAGACACAGTTGTAGGAGGAGGCTGTAACCATGTATTTGCTTCAACTTCCATGAGCTGAAGTAAGAACACAACTTTTTTGTCTTACATCATTGCCTGACATCAAGCTCAAATGTTCTTTCAGTTCTGGGAAAAAAATGTTTTTAATTTTAATTTAATTTGTGTTTTTTATTTATTTGTCATGATAAATTGAAATCTAATGAAACAAATCACACACAATAATTCTATTAATTTGATAAATTCAATTCAGTTTGAGGGTAATTTTATCTAAATTATAGTTCGTCAAACAACAGCTTTTGTCTTTGTGCGAGGAAAGTCATTGAGCTGTGATTGGTTCATTTAGGTAAAAGCCTTAATGGAGACAATGACTTACTCTCATTGCTTTTAATGGCGTAGACGTCAATAGAGGGATCGAACTCTCCGGGGGACAGAGGCTTGGTGCTATCAAGTGTGTTGCTGGGACTGTCCGGGGGTGTCCCAATGCCCCCGCCGTCACTCTCCCCCTCATCCTCCAACTCATTATCCTCGCTCTCTACCTCCTCTTGCTCAGATCTCTCCACGTCATGGATTCCGACCAGAAGACTGTAGTCCATGAGTTTCAGCTGGGCCAGGAACTATAACCCACAATGAAGTGATGGAGCAGCAGAGAAGACAAAAAAGAGAGAAATTTAGGAACAGGCAGTGCTTTCAGATGCCAAATATTTGTTACAAAATTTAATCATTTCATTTTTGTTATCAAATATTTTACCTCCACATCTTTCCTCAGCTTCTCCAGAAACATTTTCTTGTTTTCATCATCAATATAGATCTTCTGCCCATCATTGATGAAGTCATTGTCTTTGTAGGTGGGCAGCTCCTTTGCCTGCCCATCAGCAACGACCAAATGAAACAAGGAGTCAAAAAAACAATACTGGGTCATACTATCTGTTAGGCACAAAAATGTGAAAAACAAATTCAGTTGCAAAACAATAGCTTTTAAGATATTTTATCTACTGTCTGATAAATATAACATCTGATCCCAGCATTAGTGTTTTCATTGTTTCCCAGCATTGCACAGAAACATTAAGATTTAATACCATTAATTTCTAGACTGTAACTAAATAAATGAACCTGCGGTTGTTTAGAAATGCACGACATGAAAGATTTATCGTGACCCTGGTAATGAGTCACATCAACACTGCATGTGCATCCCCAGTCTGACACAAATGAGGCTTTGTGCCTGGGGTTTGTTAGATGAGCCTGTCTGACTCAGCCAAATCCAACATATATTAGAAGTAACAGTGAGTGAGTCGACAAAGTACAGGCGGTCTGTCCCAGCTCAGGCTGACCTGTTTATCAACTCATTGGTAAAAACAGAACATGCAGCATGATCACAGCAGGACACGTGTCCCTCTGACATTAACCGTATCACAACAGCTACAGTCAAATTAAGTTATGTCTTATCAATATGATGGTGAAACATTTTTGCTGAATTTTTACTTAATACAATTATTTATACTTGTGGTCTGAATGAATCTCTTCTACAAACCAAAACTATATTTTTTGAAAAATAATTTGCATCAGTTGTTTATCATCATTGAGACAAATCATACATGATTCACCTTTATGAAACCAGCATTTCTTTCACACAAGTCTATTGTTCAGACTACTGCTAGGATAAAGCAACTTCCTATCTGCTGGGATTAAACCCGGTCTATATCAGGCTACTGCAAAATAGTTTGCAGCCAGCAGGGGGAGAAGATTATGTTTGAGGAGACAGGACAAGGCCTAAAATCTGAGTCACTGAGGAAAACAGGAGCAGGAAATGAGGTAACAGAGCAGCAGCAGTGGCAGCAGTAGCAGTTTTGCTACAACAGTGTTTCTATGGCAGCAGAAGAAGAGCAGCGGGACTCAAAGACACTGGTAAACAGTGCACAGCAACACACTCACACTAACAGTACACATACACGATACACCATCCTGACAAAAAGCACACAAGAGCATATATGTAGTATATAACTAACTATACAGTATATACACAGACATAGACCTTAGATGTACAATAAAGAAGAAATGATCTGCTGGACTTAAAATAGATTCAACAAAAAAGTAAAATGACACAAAGAACAAATGGGCAAGCTCACAAGGTTCAGCTTACATTTACGTTTGTAAATGTCTTATTCTAACATCCAGTCAAACACAGGCTATAAATGAACTGTTCTAATACAATCACAGAAGAATTGTCATAGCAGTAAACCACATGAGGGTGACTCTGTTGGTCCTGAAAAGAACTTGAAATTCAAATAAATAAAGAATTTGTTATTACATACTTATAATTTCCCGATGTGCATATCTCCTCTAAGTGCAGATGTGAACATGATATAAATTCTTAAAAAAATTTGTTCCATTTAAAGGACAATTAATGGTAAAACAGGCCAGGTAACCTTGTTATTGTTAGTTAATTCATACATATCCACTGACAGTGAGTCTATCTCTGAGATTGTGTCAATGAAAGTTACTATTTTTTTTGCAGGCGTTAGGTTAAGGAACAAGTTATTTTAAGGTATCCAAAGGACAGGAATGAAGAAAAGGTTAAGCCTGGAAAGAGAAGGTTGCTGTGTAGGAGCATAGTCACATTCCACCACCTCATGTCACAGCAAATCATTAGACCTGCCCAACATCTAGTGTGAAGGTGAGGCATGTCTGAATCCTCTTTTTTTAAACTTAAGGTTCCTAAAGACACAGGTAGGTGTCGGAGAGTAAATGGTAAAAAGAAAACGAGGGGCAAAACTAAATCTAAACTGGTTGACGATTAGAGGAAAATTCAATGTTGTATGGAAAAGTGAAGATAAATAATGCCCTTGAAATATTCAATTTTATTGCAGGGGGCAGAAAAAAATTGTGGTCGCACAAAAAAATTAAATACATTAAGAAAATTGAATAAATTAAAAAAAAAATTAGGCTTGTTAAATAGATCATGCCTGGTATATAAGCCCTGGTTCTCTTACATCTCTTACGTGTTTCATGGCGCAGTAAAAGCGCGTGGCAATCCGCAGTGTTTGCAACCTTTGCTGAACATTACCAGATTTGGGACGCGAGGGCATATCCTCTGGTTGGGGCAGCTGCTAGAAGAGGGGGGAGTGAGGGAAGAAAGGACGATGGGGTTGAGAAACAAAGAGAAGAAGAAGAGAGGAAGGAAGGAAGTTTGAAGGCAAAATGTTTAAAATGTAACAGAATTTTTAAAAAATATTTTATAAGAGAATTGGAAAGGATGTCAGCGCAAGAGATAAATATGACCAGTCTGTATATTTATCAATTGTTTTATACACTTACTATTACACTCAAGTAAATGTATCGGTTGTTATTAAGAATTCAAATATTTTAATGTAGTTTTAAAATCTTTATTTAGATACAAAAAAACCAAAACAAAAACGAAAACACCCTAAAAAAAAAAAAACAAAACTAAATGTCTTTCCACAGACAAGTCAGTTTTTTCAGTACAAAATACAACCTTGAAGTTTTCTCAGAAATGGTTGTGGTTTGTCACATTTAGCTGCTTTCACAAGATCTTTAATTCTATATATTATGTTTCGGTTTTAATACCAACTTAATAATCATTCATATTTAGAATCTGTGGCTGTGGAACATGACACAGCATATACGAATCTTTTGTCAGTTTTTACATTTAGTGATAAATCAGATTTTTTGTGTGCAGTTGATAGATCATAAAATGTTGCAGTTACAGCTCACAAAAAATTATGCCCTTTATATCTGTATAACAAATGTATGTATATTAGGAATTATTTAAAGAATAAACAAAACTGGACAACTTTGTATTTACTTGTGAATGCGGTTGGTAAAAGTTGCAATTTATGACCAAAGTGTTGACATGACTGTGGATACATTATCAAGAGTCCAGGTACAAGCAAACTAGGAAGTAGATGGTGACACGGAAGCTCCTAGGTTTCAACATCAACGTTTCTCTAAAAAGCATTGTATTCGAGGAGAGGCAGAGATAACAAGCTTGTACTTGTGTGAGGAGAGAAGAGTATAAACAAAAACAAGAAAAACTGTAGCCAAATATTAACAGGTAAAAACTCAGGTTTGACTTAACAAAACCCAAAGGTCAGTCCGATAGACCATATTTTGTGTCAAATCGGGAAAAAGAAGAAAAGGTTTGCAGAGGCTGGTGGCATCTACCTAACAAAATAGTACAAAAAAATACACAAATAACCACAGTTTCTGTTGGCTTTTTGATTAACAGATATAATATATACATTAGTTTGTTTCACTTTCTTGATAGAAAACATACCTACTTCTACTTCTTTAGCTAATATAATGTTTGGGTTAAAAAAACAAAACAGAAACAACATGCAACTTACTTCACTGACCACTTGCTTTTGTTGCTTTTTCAAACACTGAGGCAAGAGCAACAACAACAGAAAGATTACTATTTACTGAAATAAAAGAATATGCATATGTGGTTAGACGATAACAGCACAAAAGGAATAGGGAGTTGATGTTCATTCATATCTAAATGTGTTAAAAAGTCATTTAGCTGCAATAAAAAAGTAGAAAAAACATTGTTTACCATGCACGACCATGCATGAAAGGGTGGTTGGAAGTCATGCAGTCAGAGGTGAGAGAGCCCTGCCATGCTTGTTGTTTGTGACTGTGTGGGTGTATGTGTATGTGTGTGTGTGTGTGTGTGTGTGCGCGCGCGTGTGTCGTTGTATTCGGCATAATTGAAGCATGTCTTTTTCATTATAACCAGCTACATAATGTCAAAATGGATGTAGTTTGAGCTCCTGAACCACCTGGTGTTTCATATGGACCCAAAAAACCTTTACTAAATCTTCTCGTGCTACCACTTGTTACAATCAAATTGTGTATTTAGACATAAATTAAAATATAAAATGTGTGTAATAAACATGTACTGTAACTACATTCAAAAGAGCTGAGATCGATTATCTTAATCAGCAGCATTTCTGTGTAAAGGTTTAAATTTAACCCAACATACTACATGAATCACGACAAATACATTGTACATAACTGTGAGTCAAGATGTCAGGACATCAGTGGTAAGAAACAACAAATTCATTTATCCAGACAGGAAGAAACAATAGGAGAAAAACTTCATCACCAGTCAGGAATACCTTTCCAGGTAACGTGCAACCAAAGAGGAGAGTTTAGCGTTTGGGCGATTGCTTTGCAGTCGAGCAAAGATGGAAAGAACAGAACTAAAAACGTACTGTTCATCGCTTCTGTCAAGAATTTTATCACAAATGTGATTTTTACCAGAAATCAATGTGAATCTAGTTTGTAAAACTTTTGCGACATTCCTTGTTTGACAGTGGACTCTGTGCCAACAGAGCCACAATCGCAAACAGCCAGCCTTACACGACAAAGAGCAAAACTTCCATCACTGACAAACGCACACACACACTTACGTACATTGAAAAGACATCATGGCCAGAAATACTGAACACCTTTGAAGGAGACCTGATTGAACTGAACTCGATACACAACGCATTCCCTGACACACAGCTCTTTATCACACAGACAGCAAGCAGGGGGAACACAGCAGCAGCAAGGTTAGAGGGGATGTATGCAAATCAAAGAAATGAACAGCGTGCAGGGACGGTAAGGGCATGGAGTGATGAGGTAGGTGCTCACTAAAGGAGATGGGTATTTGCCAGTGTCATCAACACCCAAAGGGAAATTAAATCCGACACCAAAGTTGTATCGCTTAGGCCTGTTGGGTGATGACAGTGAGCACAGGACGGTTTGAAAAACCAGTGGAAACAGTTTGTTCTCTGTTATTCTCCAATTATCCCACTCTGAGCAGAATGACTGACTCATGCTCTGTACATGACGTCAGTAGTTAATTGAGCAGAAAGGTTTTACAGTAAATCTTTCTCAGTCAGCATGATTTGACAGTTGAATATATAAAACTGTCATAACATACACGAAATGTAGATGATATAAAAAAAGGGTGTGATACATAGAGTTGTTGTTCTCTGATAAAATTTAAGGTGAATAAAAAAGTTTGACTTCAGACGCATTTTAAATTTACCGGTCCAAAGTAGCCAAATTATTTCCCAATCCAATTCCTCTACAAATTATTGTAGAGTAAAAAATACAAACTGCCAGCTTTTTAGTTGGTAGCTGTTCCACTTTAACACTATTTCACTTTGTTAGCTTCAAGACTTGTAGCTCCATCCCTGCTCCACTGGCAAACAATGGTATGGCCCGAACAGAAGGAAAGGATGGGAGTTACATTTGCTTTGAATGTGGGGGTAGTTATTTCCCAGTCTGGTTTTGCGAAGTTCACTTTTTTAATGTTGTTTTGTCGTTAGGCCTCTTTTATGAAGAAGTACTTGCATGTAATTTTTAAATGTTATATAATTCGTTATTAAGTGCTTTATTTAAATTGATACCCTTGTAATTATGTTTAATAATGGGTACTGGAATGTCAGGTGCAAGTACCTTCTCTTTGTCGCTGGCTTCTCTTGCGACAGTGGAGCCCTACAAAAGAAATATAAAGAAAGGTTAGTTACTTTTTAAAAAACAAAGTTCTCTCTACAAGCACTGGAAAATCCTGCTCAATTTCCTTTCCATTACTAACATTCTTATTATCATGCTTGTAGGCACTCTTGGGCATGTGGCTCAGCCGATTAGGCAGCTGAGTCTAAGAGCTTAGGTTGGCGACGCTTTTTGTTGAGGCTTTTAATCCATTGCCTTAGTAATTATATGTTGTTTTTTTCCTATAAGGAGTCACATTTATACAGTTTTGTTTATTTTAAGAGAAGATCATCTGTGTTCTTCTGTATAGATCAGATTTTTGTGATTTCCTCACAGCTGATAGAGCCTATTCTAAGCGGGTAAATCAAGTTTAGTAACATGTCTTTACCTTGTAGAACTCTCTGCAAAGGTTGGCTGGATGAGTGTCAAGTGAGGAAATCAAAATGCAGACAGAATGAAATTCCATGCTTATGATCTCACAGAATTTTGTACCAAGTCCATATAAGGAAGTATTCGCACTCAGCCTTTATCCTGTGCTTCAGATGTGCATTTGTCACTATCATTGCATTATTGAAGTCAATATTTTTTCCACAGAGCTATAATCAGGAAACAGTACTAATGAAGGACATACACCATCTCTGGTGCTACAGACGGCAGAGGTGTTTTGTTTAAGTGAGTTTAGTGTGTTGTAACATTTCCATTCTCTCACCTTGAGATCATATTTTTTGTAGACAGAAAGGCGGTGGGAAAAAACATTGCGGGTAACTATCATGTATGTCTCGTCTCCATCCACAGTCAGCCGGTACATCCCCAGAAACTGAGGCAGAAGCGTGTTACCATGGCACTCCACAATGAACTACAAAAAAAAGAAAGAAAAGTAATTTAATTCAATTTTAAGAGTAAGATACAGACAAATAGCCAAAGGGCTAAAATTTAGCAAATGATGCACACATGCTATGAATTTTCCACCTGATGATATTTCTTCAAAATGTTGTGCATTTCTGCAACATCCTCACTGCTGATGGTTTTAATGACATAGCGTTTGTCATAAGAAGTGTGGAAGCGTGCACCGCTTCGTCCCTGGGCTTCACTGTTCAGCGGAGCACTACGTGTCAGAGAATTCTGAAAACACAGAAAAAATAAGGATATTTAATTCACTTTATGAAACAATGTTTAGGTGCTTTGAAAACTATATACAATGATACAACCTGACTAAGAATGTTCCAGCTCTACCTTTTTTGGTATATGACCACCTTCAAGCATCTATGATGAACATATGGAATTCTGACCCCCCACTTTTTACCCATCCAAAGCGGCTCATAGACACAAAAACAGCTGCTGTCCAGACTGTGGAGGTCAAAAGAAACATGATCTCCAACATCCCTGGTCCAATGTGTCATTCTCCAGGAATGTCCTCTGCCCTCTGCAACTCTTATATGGAACAGTGAGCCCTTATTTAATACTGGCTTTGACGCCAGTATTAAATTAATTGTCAAGATACTTGTCATGTGTTGTGTTCAGATGCCAAAAGCTCATTTAACCATGTTTCAAGAGGTCCCTGAAATCGTAAAAACCCACCTATTCACCCAGATGCTGGAACACTGATGTGGTTTGACTCACAGGCTGGAAATGTTAAAGAGGCCTGTTGCCTGAGGCTGGCACAACGGTAAAGCTTTGGACTTTCTCATGTTTTAGTTTTAATGTTTTAGTGCACTCAGCACTTTGGGCATCTGCTCTCATGTGCAGAGGGGAAATGCTAATTTGGTCTCACCTCATTGACAATATTAAAACTATGAGACACTGCAATAAAAGTAAAATTAATTGATGAATGTCATTCAAAGGGGTGAGAGGCTTGCAGTTACTTGTAATGATGATAATGATGTGTGCCATTTTAAATAAAACAGAATATAACAACATTTTGACAGCCACCTAGACACCTGACTGCCCACCCTCTTCAGCCTGCTAAACCCTAATGTAAACGTGAAAAGAACAGCTGCTCTGGGTTGGGACACAATGACCTCTAAATACTGCCAACACATTGCATGCACTAGGAATGGAAATTTGCAAGAACAAAGAGTGGAAAATAACAAAGAAATCCAGAAATTGAAACAAAGGAAAAGGTGAAACACATGTTTAGAATACAAAAATCTGAGTCCATTACTTGTGTTTAAAGGTGATGGAAGGCAAGCTTTAAGTTTGTGATGAATATTTACACGGACACATACAATAACAAAGGAAACAGAGATTTGATCTAGCAGGAGCTTTTAAAGGTTTTCTGTCAGTTTTTATTTACAAATACATACCAAGAAGTCCTGATCATCAATGCCAAACCTCTCTCTGAGGTTTCGAAACACCAGGGGGCAGTACTCTTTAAACTTGAAATGGCTGGGCATGTTTTCCCTTTGTACAAACACAGTTATAAATGTGTGAATATTTACAGCACACAGGAATCTGAACTATGTTAGAATACCCTATAAAAGGTCGTACTTGTTAAAGAGGTGGTTGTCCACTTTGATCTTTGAATAGGCCTTGAAGTCATCAGGCATGAGCATGATGGGAATCTGAACATGGCTTAACTCGTTTATCTGGAAGATAAAGAAGAAACAGGAGAAGGTCAGTGATTCATTGGAGACGAGAGATCAATCTAAAACTCGTAAGTTAAATCACAATGCATTGAATCGTTTGATGCTGGTACATAAAAAAAAAAAACATTTCGAATTCACAAGATATTGAGTTCAGGGCTGTCAGGAGAGTTACACCATAAACACAACTAATTTGACAGAAAACCTAATGATTACCACAGACATTGAATGCATGCTATTTTCCTAGACACTTGAGATATTGAGTTCAGGGCTGTCAGGAGAGTTACACCATAAACACAACTAATTTGACAGAAAACCTAATGATTACCACAGACATTGAATGCATGCTATTTTCCTAGACACTTGAATAAACCTTGTACAGTGACTCCACAGTGGGTTATCAACGACATAAGGTGCTTTGCAGGGGTTTTGTTTGGACCTAGCCATGCATCACACGGCGGTAGAGACCTGACATTTGTTATGACTCAGGCACAGCATGAAACAGGCTGGGTGTGTGTGCACTCTTCATAGATGTGGTTGGCTGCAGGCAGGGAGTCTGGCAGTTTGTATTAGTCTATTAATAACCTGTCATTCCACCAGTCACACTTATCCTGCAGGTGCCTTCAACAAAGTCAAATATTCATGAAGGTAAATTGATGTTAACAATAATCACAAACGTAATGCTAATGGCGTTGGTTTGGTCTAAAAATTGTGTTATAAAAGACATGTATTGTACCATTGCTGAGGATAACTATACGTAATAATTTTATCTTCACTACCATTATCCCCAGCAAATAAATATCCCATAAAAATCATTATCTCAGAAAATTATGTTAAAATACAGTATGAAGACAAAACTAGCCTTCACTGAACACATTCAAATACAGTGAGTTACAGATGTATAATAATTACAAAGGTTGTGTTATAAAGTAAGCCATTATCAAAGGTCAACCTATATGACAAAGGCTGCACCTTAACCTAAATGCATACAATGTGGATAAAATGCTTTTGTGAACTATTCACAAATTTTGAAACCACATACAGCAAAAAAACTGTGCATTGGTGCATTTTTCCAGTGTGTAACATGAGGTGAGTTGTAATTCAATCTAATATCTATCCACTTCATATTCATATATATTAGAATATTAGATATTCAAGTTCTAAGCTCAATTATAAGCTTCTCAGCTGCAAGAAAAACAATAACGAAAAAAAAAGAGATAGAAAAAAAAAACCATGATAACATAAAGAGTCCTGGAAAAGGCATAATTGAGACAGCTAGTGAATATTTTTGTGACCTAGTGTTACTGACACCAGACACAGACGTCACAGTGTTGCTATAGCACAGGTGCATTCTGGGTACACACTGGGGAGATGTCGCCTAATCAACAAAAGCTGTGTTTCACACAAGGGCAGCTTCGGCACTGGCACTGGCCGGCACACACTCTTTACTGTGGGAACATTAGTCCACAGAATAATACAACAAGTTACCATAGTAACCTGAGTGTACATAAGAAATGTGGAAATGACCAGGAATAAATTAAACTCTAGCTTTATCTACTGTGTTTGTGCCTCCTTTATGCCATGTGTAGTTTTGTTTAATTAGACACATCCACGCTCATCTTCCTGCAGCTATCAAACTTGCAAAAAGTTTCACACCACCACTTCCTGTTTGTTTCCATGGTAATAAGTTCTGGTTTTCCGGCCCAAAGCAAAGAAAGTGTGTGCAGTTTCTCCATTGGACAGGAAACTAGTGAAGAGAGTGTGCTCTGTCAGCAGCATGGCGCAGTGTTATCTCTCTGAACAGTAACACATAGATGACTTGCACTAAGAGCCCACAAATCTTGGCAAAAATAACACTTTCAACATTTAATAAAAAGAAAACATGAAATGTAAATTACCCAGTTGTTAAACACAATAAAAGGGAAATATTTGAATGCAAATCTTCCCTTTTAATATTAAAAAATTGTATTAATTTCACATTGCAAAATATGTATGAGATATGTAAAAAGTCAAAAATTAAAAACAAAAATCACAGTCAGAACAGGACTACAGTCAGTCATAACAGTACTACAACATGCACACAATTTATACAGCTTATTTTGTAACGGTTTTTTCTAGGTGTGGTACACTGCAATGTACATAAGGCAATAGAGTGATCTTCTAATTCTAGAGCATTATAATAACTGACAGAACATGAAATTGCCAGGACAGGTGCAAATATTCTCTATAGGAATCTGGTGTTGCACAACACAACATATCAACATATAATTTACTGTGTATACGCCTAGTCTATTATAGATTTACCCTTTACAGACAACAGTTGAAAACCAAAGGGCAAATATCTGTAGTACATTGTGTCGGGTGTAGAACTGACCTTACACTGACAATGCATCATTTGCTAAGTCATTAATCCAAGCATACAGTATGTCACCTGTAACAATATGTGGGGTTGGGAACCACAGGTTTAAGTTAAGTTTGATAAGCCATCTAATCAGTGATTTAATTACATTTAGTTTTAAAATGTGGTTGAACTAATGTAGAAATTGTCAGATAGTAAAATATATAAAAAGAGAAGGAGCAAGTGAAGGATTTCATGTTAGCATTGCAAAAAGGAGCTATATATTTATTTTTGACAGTCAAACCAACATCCACATTAAAACAGTAAATGACAAATGACTGGAAACATGAAGATCACAGTTGTAATCAACGGGTTGTCAAACAAACAGAAATCTCAATGACTATGGTGTAATGCCAGGGCTGGGAAAGCAAACCATTAAAGGCTACAGCGGTTTACACTGACTGTGCAACAAATAAGCTCAAGGTAGAAAGCCAGCCCTGTACCAGACAATTAAGCAACACGTTGCATAGCATTTAGATATGTGTACACCTTGGCACAGTGCCTCAGCTTGGAGGGGGAACACAAAGACACAGACACAAATGAGTTCTAAATTGTGCATACGCTAAATGCTGGCATAAATGCAAACTCAATTACAAAAAGAAGAGGTTTACGTTTTTTCAGAGAATAAATGTCAAGTAGATTACAAAATATTTTTAAAGGTTTGTTTATCAAAGACTGAGACATTTTCCTTGATTTCCCATTCTCCTCACACATAATAAGTAGAGGTGACTTTTTAGATATTTATAGAAACCACCTCTTATGCAATCCACGGGACCAGACTCAGCTACTGAGTCAAAGACATGAACACAGATGGACAGGTAAGGAAAGCCAACTGAACAAGATGACACAAAAAGAGGCTGTGGCAAGACCTAAATGAAACAGCATGATTGGTGATGTATGGTAGACTTGAAAAGTCATACTTTGGGGAATACCGATGCATTTACTTCTGTTGTACTATGTCACAGACAGCCATATCTGACGTATTCATCAATAAACAACAACAAAAGTCACATGGACAAATTAACAATAACTTGGGGTAATTCTGACTATGATATTCTCCAAGACGACGTCAGCTGCTAGGCTAAAGGTTTTGTTCCTACTCTTTGTTGTACTTCCAAGTGTTTTGTAAATTATTTTGTTGTTGCATGCATCTTTTTTTGGTCATTTGTCGTTCACATTTCTTCAGGGAACTTATTGTATGTCTTTGGCATTTGTTTGGAAGTAGGAAAAAAACATTCAAACATGTTTAAATAAAGTGCACTATTTTACTCACTGTCAAGGGATTCATTTCAACTCAACCATATGTAGCAGTTTATATCGTATAAAAACATTTGTAAAAATAATTAAATTCTACAACTTAACTTATCTATTATTTATATATATATTTATTTGCATGACAAGTGGCTGCAGCATATGAGTACAATTTAGTAATAAAACTGTACTCGCATATAAAGTTATCTCATCATACCTTTAACGTCACACAGTACTTCTTTTTTTGTAAATGCATGACCTAATGTTAACCACCTTACCAAAGCTGTTGGCCAATGATGGAAAATTTAAATGACATCAAACACAGTTTGTCATTTTCACAGAAAGCAGCAGTTGTAGCTGCTTGAGTCAAAGCTATGATTAGACATAAAGATGTGAAAATGCAGTTTCCCCAGCAATGACAAATCTACACAGCAGCAATAGCGAAATACAAATTCAAACCAAACATAATCAGTAAACTTAGTAAAACATAGCCTTTAGTGATTAGAGATGTTCTTATTTGTAATGTCATTATTATAACTTCTTTAGCTTAGTTCATTAATGAATGTTTTTAGACCAAGATATTTTGGCATAGTTTACAATTCCAACATAAATATTGCCTGTTATGTGCAAGTGTTTCCACCTTTTCTCTACAGAACATAACATACAGGGTGCCCTATTTTTTTTCTAATTTCCTTTTACAAAAAAACTTTTCATTTAAACCTTAAACTGTTGTAGCCAAACAGTGACGTTTGCTGTGGAATGTCAATTTCATTTTGTCAATGGTATGAGAGGCCGAGTCCCTTATCAAGTGATGAGAAAAACAGCAGTAGAAGTAGCCTAAGGCATAAGAAGAAAATGTGCCCGCTCAGTTATGCAATGCAAGAGAAAAGTTTGAACATGTAGATCCTTTTGAATGTGAAGTTTTTTATGGTCTTGAAACAGAAGCATAAAAGGCAAGACTGACAACTTTAACACATGACACTATATTAAACATACAACACATTTTACACACAAACTTTAATTCAAAGATAATAATTTAATCTGGATTAGATATGAGGTATTAAATTATATGCGCTAGTTCAGACATTAAATAACAAAAATACTACATCCATGATCTATACAAATATACAGTGTCTTTAAAACTTTGTCCGTGCCACTATACAGCGTGTTTGTAATGGGTTTTAAATGGGTTTACTGTCATCTTTACTTGTTCTCATTGTTACCAATATAATCAGCACTGCAGTCTTCTAATGTCAGTGTAAGTGTCGAATCAAAATTTTAGCCGTCAAGAGAAGTTTAAACATTCTGTCCTGCTGTTGTTACAGACATGTCTGAACTAGCTGTGACCTTTCAACTCAATGAGACTGTGTTTCTGGGCTGTTTGGGTGAAAATAGCTACTGATATTGGAAAAGAAGTTGCAAAATTGTCATGTTATAATCATCATGTTACGATGCCAAAAGAAGTGCTTTCTTATATGTTTTTATGCAAAAAAGCTCCCAGAATTACAAGTGAAATTTTAAATACACGTAACCATGGCTTTCTAGAAGTTGAAATGGCACTGCAACTGCCTCATGTATTTTCTGTCCTTTGTTTGCCTATGTAGTTGGGCATAGAGGCCTAAAATCAGGAGCCAAGTCATGAACTCAAAAAAAAGGAAAGGAGTTTGCCATGATTTCTTTGAGAATGCTTACATAAAAGACACTAAAAAGACAATTTACAGGCCAAGCGAGCAGTTACACAAATGTACATGGCTGTACCAATGTTTACAACTATTAATTTGTAACAATGTTTTTTGTGTTTATACAAAGGCAACCCCCTTAACTGTGCACTATATTTTTTACCACACTGTGCATACTTTCTGTGAACTGATGTCACATGAAACAAAAGCAAGCACAGCAGAATCCTGTGTCAAAGGGCAACAATAATTTGCTTTTGTAAGACACTGCTGCCATCATTTACACTGTATGACTCTTTGTACAAGAGAACAGCTTTGTACAAACAAGTAGAAACTGTTTTGTTCTGCAGGTCACTTTTATTTCTCTTCCTTTCTTCACACAAGCAGTTCTCTTTTCTCTTTAACACCACAGAGAAACACAGAGCAAACACAAAATGGTTTTACTACAAATGCTACGTTTATGTTGAACACAGCCTCTGATCACTGATCAAGGTTCAAATACCATATATAATATATGATGCACATAAGTCTTAGTATTAGTTTAGTCTGTGTTGTTTTGGTTTTTCTCACTCCAACATATGAGTTCTGGTCCAGTGCAAGTATTTGGGGAAGAAAGAGAGAGTACAGATAAGCTGTCTTACATGGATGGGAAGATCTTTTTATGACATGAGTTGTAAAAGCTTATCCAACATGTGCACAACAGGAAGCCAAAACACAGTTGACAAATCGCCCACTCTAACACATACACACTCCAGCGCTGACACATCTCAGTGTTGCAACAATATAAAGGCTAATAGTTCACAGCAGACATTAGCTCAAAGATCAGAATAAAACATCAAACACTGTTATGTAAAAATTAGAAAGGATGGCCTGACTTACCGAGTGGTTGACTCCCCACATAAGCACGCTGAGCAGAGGGTCGCTGGCACGGAACAGCTTCACTTTTTGAGCCACGAAGTGCTTTTTCTTCGTCTTCGTTTTGCTCGCAATGGATGCGGCAATGCTGCTTGCTGAAGCCATCTTCAACAGTAACGAAAGAAAGCAAGACTGTCCCTTTAATATCCGATAATCCGCTCTAGGTATCCCTCTTGCCTCCTTGAAACTGGCACAGCAGCCACCGGTTCACGACTCAGCAACACCCAACACTATTCATTTAGCCTGGTCGGAAATCAAAGCGTCCCAGTTCTTTTTCTTCATCCAACGCCCCGCGCAGCTAGGCGGACGCTGTGTTTCAATGACGATGAGAAAAGGTGTGGAGGGCAGAAACAACACTGCTATGTGTTATAAGTTAGTATAGTTGCTCCTCTTGAGATGGTCGCCTCCCTCAGCCCACATCATAAGTCACCTCTCTTCCTTCCTTCCCTCTCCTGGAGCTCTGAGCTCTCTATCACTTAGCTGCCGTTAGCATTGCCCGCTAGCTTGCTAGGCTAGCAACACATCGGCACAGAAATGTGAGCCAAATCGACATAAAACGAAAAAACACACAGGGCAGTGACACAAGAAAGAACGGGTGAGGCGTCACGCAGCTCTAAACCGAACCGTTCGAGCAAAAAAATGGTGGGCTGATGGCTCCGGATATCCAGCTAACGTTAGTCCGCACCGACCTTCGCCTGCGCACTCTGCCCACCGACCGAGTCCGCTCAAACCCCTGCTAGCCTACGATGCTAACTAGTAATAGCTGCGCACTACACCTACTGCGCCGATCGTTCTCTCTCTGGAGAAACAGCCGCGTATCCTGTTATGTCCGTGAACTGAACGGTGTTTAGACGTATGTTCACACAGGTACCAAAGACTCACCACTGCAATAACAGTGGTGCTCATGTGTGCCGCTGTCAAATGACAGCTGGACCGAGGGGAGGTGACAGTGTAAGCGCGGAGCTCGGTCTGCAGCGCTGATTCGCTGCAACCCCTCCCTCCCTTCCTCCTATTACTGGACCCAGCTATTGACAGCATGTATGTAACAGCGACAATCAAGCTAGCTGATGCTTGGTGTCTTGATTCAGCGCCTCTGTTGATGCTGCTCCAGATGGTACTCCATCTGTCCTGAATTCTGTCTTTGATGCAGATGGACAGTTGAGTATTTATGTCCTGGTTTTGTTTTATAGGTCAAATCCACCGTATTGTTACTGCTAAGAAAACGTACAGAGAACTAAATCACGGAATTCCACTTTTGTTTAACTTGGACGTGGCCTAAGACATTTGCATTCACTGGTGTTTGTGTTTGCCCCAAGACTCCGTTGGTCATGGCGTTTACTCAGTTACTGACTCAGTGTCTCTCTCTGTTGTGGTCAATGTAAGCTGCTACACAATGTGTAGGGGAAGTTCTACAAATAGTTTAACTCCACACCTCTCTCTATTTTCTGTCTGGTTTCACTTCCCCCGTCAAGGATCTTCTTCAGTAGGATGCATTCCTCCCGGCACATTTTGACACCCGAGCAGTCACACCTGTACAGACAGTTTCTCATCTTGAAAATAACAAATGCTCACTATTTCCCCCCATCACCTCTGGGCTGCTGTGTTCTCTCCCTGGCTCTCTGTTGACAGAGCCTGGCACGACGGCCAAAAAGAAGAGAAAAATGACAAAGTGAGGGCATAGGAGGAGCCGGGAAAGTGCTGACTCGCATCCAGTGCTGGACAGCGCCTTAATTGATCACTCGTTCAGGAGGAAGAGAATGGGGAGGGGGATGGACTGGGTGGAAGAAACTGGGGAGGGTTAATGGAGGAAAGAGGGCCGTACTGGGTATTTCATGCGATTTATGAGGGACAGAGGCGGGGGAAGATGGGCTCTCAGACGAGCGTTACTCAGTCACAAACATCAGATGAAAGGCCACCGACGTTTATCACAGCACAAGAAGAAAGACCTACACTGTGGACACCGCCAGGAATTAGAGAAATATTTTCATGCAGCTATTTGTGCAGTAAGTGTTGGGGGCTGTGTCGGCCGTGTGTGGCCTTCAGTGCGTCACTCAGTCAGTGTATTTATAGTGTTGTGGAATAAAAGAATGTGTGTAAAGACCACCGTGTGTTTGTGTGTGTTTGGGTAAAATGAGCTTCAGCGTTTGTGTATGTTCCTCGATCAATCAGCAGTTGTTTTTTTGTTTTGTTTTTTCCCCTCCCTCATCCTGCTCTCATTTAAGAACAAAGCATGGTAATTTACCCACATGGTAATTTATAAAGACGACTAAACAGGCGGGAAATGTCAAACAGAAAAACCAATTGGAAGATCCATTCTGAACATTAACGTTGGTGTGGCATAGCATTTACCTATGTCTATATGTTAATCAAATGCAGATGCATTCACCCTTGTGCATAGACACCTGTTCTGTCATAGGGTCCCAGCCTGCTGTGCTGCGTGTTACAGTACATAACAGTCCCGGCTTGCGTTGGCTTCACAACGAATCATGCATTAGAATTATACATCATCCCATCCCCCTTTACGACCCATTTATAGATTGCTTTAGCTGAGCTTCATCAGATGGTCATTTCAAACAGATAACAACCTACTAAATACAGCTGCACTTATTAAATAATATTTACTGCTTTGTATGTTAGGTCTGAGGCCATATTTCAACTCTCTGCAATAAATTTTAACAAACAATGTAGTACATTTTAATGTTATAGATATAATAATTTAATTTATTTTAACATGCAGTTTGAGGATGATTTCTACAGATATGAAACTTTTGAAGAAAAATAGTAAAGAAAAGTTGGAAATCCCAAACACATACTGCAATAGTTTGGTGTATAAGTCACTTATTTTTCATAGTAAGACAATGATTGAGTGTGGCCAAAGGTTAATTCATAGTTGGACCAGAAATAGCTTAATGTTAGCCCAGAAATAACCACATAAAGGTGCAAAGGAAGCCACAGCTCTGTCACAGAGATCACAAGCTGTGCTGTAGCAAGAGGAAAATAGTGAATGAGAGAAGAAGAGAAGAGAGAGAGAGGAAGAAAGAGCTTGTGTGAAGAATTGCAGCACTCCCTTGCTCTTTATGGCATAGGTCCCATGGCCACTGTTACCTAGCAACATAGCGTCACCTCCAAAACATGCAACTTCATGTTCTTCTGCTGTGCTGCTTCAGCTCTTAAGTCTTCCCCTTAGTATGGAAAAACATAGGTAAGTCACCACGTATGCACAAGTTGTTATTCTAAATGTGAACACTAGCACTGAGGTTAGATTTTCAATACATTGATATTTGTTTCTGTTTTTTAACCTTTTTTTGCAGCATAATGAAAATGTTTATGTCAGGATAGAAAAAATAAAACAGATGAAAAACATGAGGAATTTAGTAGTTAAACCATCGGAATTTGTGCTTTAGCTTAACTTTTTTGTCCTTTTGAACAAAATGCACTCTACTGCCAGTTTTCAGAAAAACACACACACTGAATCAAAATTCAGTCATGCAATCTAACTCACGACTGTGTAATGTCATTAGTGCAGTCAGAGCCCAAATGTCTCATTTATCATCAAGTAGAAAAAAAAAATTTGTTTTTGGTCATATGGAATATGGAACATTCCAATATGTGGAATTCTGCAGTTGTTTTGAATGTGTTGTGGCTAAAAGATTTTGATATAAAAAAACAAAACAAACAAAAAAACAGAACAGATACTGAGTAATGTGGTGTCATATAATTCACAATGTGGCACCATGAGATCACGTAAATGTGATGTCTCCTGTTGTTATTTAGGTTGTATTAGCAGCTGATTTACATTTGTTTGTATCCCTGACAATTTTGCCATTTTTTTTCTTTTAGGTTTTCAAGGCTTTAAAACACGTTTGTAATGAATGATGACCTCCTCACATCCAAGAACAGTTGTTGATTCACATTCTAGAATGTCCTTGATATTTCTAGATCATGTATATTTATGACATCGTCCTTGTGTACTCAGGGGATGACATCAAAGGAAACAGATAATTTGACACTTCCAATTTTACAAGGAGACGGAATCTCAACAAAGGCAATAATCTTATCAGTTAACCAAAAAGCTACAACCAGACATCAAAACAGATGATTAATTTATCTGAAGTGGCAGTTATTTTGTTCATTAGAGAAATTGTTTTGACTTGTAGTTATTATAAGAAATAACTCAGTGACTCTCATATTTTATAGTATGGCAAAGAAAGGGAAAAAGAAGGACAGTGAAAATCAATCCCTGGAGTTGGTGAGTAACTTTTGTAATTAAATGAACTGAAAAAAATGTAATAAATGTAAGGATGTGCTACACAAAGGCACCAAAACCCCCATGCTCTCTTTTCATTACTCTGGTTTGTGCTGGCAACAGGTCGAGACTGTAGGCAAAACTCCAGAAACAGCAGTCCTACTGCTGAGATCACCAGAGGAGGACATCTTAATAAAAGCCTGCGAAGCAACCCATGCATTTGCAGAGAAAGGTACAGCTGTTACACTCTACATCCCTACATGCCAGGGACTGTCTCCAACTGAAAAACAGCTCTGGGCCCTGACCCTGACCAGCTCATAGCATTAGTCCACACAAATCTCTCTGGCACTTATGTCTTAATTACTACAGGCAATCCTAAAGGCAAATAGTGGAACAACATCTAATGGTTGAATGTCCCTTATCTCCAGATTCCTGTCCAGGCATGTACGAGAACACATGGTAGCTCCAAGTTATCATTAAAACACAGAAGTGTGTCTGCCTTTGGCTAGTGTAAAAACATGAACCAACGTGGTCTATGTAACGACATCCTAGAAAGGTGAATTTACAATTCATTTTAACCACCATTTTGTACAGTTCTTAGCACTCTATCATGTGACAATATCCGAAATGAGGATAAATGTACAGTGACCCTCATTGACTTGTATTGGCCCTTCTGTAATTCTACAAAAAGCACATATGGTCAGTCAGTTCCAGTAAGATTTACCCTGCCATATAATTAGCTCTTATTAAGACATCCGTACAGTGCTGCCAAAATGTTGAAACCATAATTTTCAGGCTATGCTCTTGTCCTCTCTTTGGTGTAGTTTAGGTTCAGAACTTTACTCATACAACCAGAGACACTAAACCTCTTTCTGTTGCTAGGTGATGAGGATAAGTTTTTTCTGCTGGAACTTGGAGCATTGGAGCCTCTCTGTCAGCTCATCACTCACACCAACAAGCTGATCAAACGCTATGCCTTCATGGCTCTGGGCAGCATGGTCATTAATGGTTGGTCAGATTATATGCAGCATTTCATTAATGCACATTTGACTACTTCCTGTGCACTGAAGAGGGGAATGGCAGGCAGTGCCTCCAGATAAAGGGTGTCGGAAAGAGGGCCCAGCTGAAAAGTTCCACATTTTTTCTGTTTAAATCAGCATAATGAATTAATGAAATTTAAAAAAAAACTATTCAGATCTTTGCATTTTTTAACTGTCATCTATCACATGCAAGCCACATAGCGTCATACTAATATATTTAAAACACCTTACCCTAATTATCCAATTATCTATCTAATTATCATAAGTTGGGTCATACAATTTTTTTGTATGACCTAACTGTACTCCCTGACATGGCTGTAGATGTGAGTAGGTGACTGACAAAGTGGTCATTAACTGTTTAACCGTCTTTTTGCTTTTATCCAAGATGAAGTAAAGACTGTACTGAAAAACATTGACATCATTCAATCACTCATAGACAACTTGTCTCCTGAAGGTGAGTTATTTTGAATGCAAGGCAATCGTACCTGTAGTTATTGTCAAAATTTAGAATTGAATTGACAACATGCTGTTTTTTTTCTTTTAAGAGGAACCAGTGGTCCATGAACATGCAACACTATGCCTGGCTTGTCTGTCAGTGGATTTTGTACACAAGGTTCAGATCTTTGCCAAGGATGGCCTCCCACCACTCATTGAGCTTCTCACCAGTACAGACCCAGATGTTCAGAAAAACTCATTGGAAGTCATCTTCAACCTTCTCGAGGTGAATTAAGGTCTTTGGGGTCAAGTGATGTCAGAGCTTTATGAATTAGTCATATATCTAATTTGGTCTCTAATGATTTTCTTTTTCCCTGGATCTGCTGTGAATCAAAAGCACTACCCGTGTCGCACAACAGCCCATGCGTTGGGTGTGATCACTGCACTTCTGGAACTGTTGAATTCGGAGTACCCTGTCATTCAGCAGTTGACTTTAGAAACGTTGCAGAGTGTCACAACTGACAGAGATTCACGAGATCAATTCAGAGAGGAGCAGGGATTTGAGAAGATCATGGACATCCTTAATGACTCAGTAAGTGTGTGTGTGTGTAAGACACAGGGTAAATGATTTTGAGGGGCATTTAACAGTTAGTAAAAATAGTCTTCTTTCCTATTAGCACTGTCTATTTCAGCAGACTTAAAAAATAAATAAATAAAAATTACAGTAAAAAATCAAATGCATTAATATATCAGTATACCATAGGCCTGATACATTTGAAAATATTAGACATATATATATGTATAATGTATATACTGATTAAAAAAACAGAAATATGTAAAGAAAACAAATACAAAGATGGGAATAATAGAAAATAGTTCTATAGTTTGTAATAACAAGGTTGAACAATATTTAAATATGCTGGCTATCTCATATTTTTCACAGTTTCTTTAAAATTGTCCTGCTCCTCTGTGATTACTTGAGTTTCCTGGTCTATAATTATTAAGGTTCATGGTCAAGATTACCCAATTGTGCTGCATCATTTCAACATTTCCTGTCAGAGGACTATATTCCTTCTTTCACATTAAAACTTGAGCTTGATTTGAAACGGTTTGATAATGTTCAGAGCCACACATTTTAAGATCACCTGGAATGCAGTTGGGTCAATTATTGTAATTTTCTTGTTGTGTGTTATTTAATGAAACCTATCCAACATCACCTGCTTTTTATCTGAAGCCATTACTCATTGCAGTTGAATGTCCCCTACTTTTGATATTCCTGTGTGTAAGCACTTTTAATTATAAGTCTGCTGTGGCCTGTTTTGCCTCAGTGTACACCCTGCGCTCAAATGGTCAGCTGGCAAATGTTCACCTTGAATAACCTTTTGTTTCTATTGTTTTTTTTTGTCCTAACAGGAACTCAACGACCTTCATGCCGAAGCCTTAAATATAGTATCCAACTGTTTGATTGACACTGAGAGTGTTCTGCTGATTCATAAGGATGGAGGACTGATCAGGCTGTTGAATTTTCTCCTTGTTCCCAGTGAACCTGAAATCCAGTCTAACGCCATCAAATGCATCGCTAGGGTCGCTCAGATGTGTAAGAGAGGGAGAAACAAATCATGACATGTTTATCAACTATGTTTCCACATCTGTGTATGTTTGTGACTTTAGCTGAAAATCGTCAACTGCTGCATGAGCAGAATGTGGAGAAGATTCTAGTGGAACTTCTCAGTGAGGAGGACATCAATATAAAAACATCTGCCTGTCAAGCTGTGACTGCCATGAGCTTCCTCCGAGCTAGTATAGAACGCATTAGAGAACTTGGTATGTGCAGTCCGTCATTTAATTCACATTACCAAAACCATGACAATGGAAGTTCAACGTACTTGTGTTTATAGGTGCTGTCCCTGCAGTTGTGGAGGCACTGCATTCTGAGAGTCCAGAGCTAATAATGTTAGCCACCGAGCTCCTCTCTAATATAACGTACAACAACCACTTAGGCATATGGTAAGTCAGAGTTTTATATATAATTATCAATTTTTATTATAAAAAAACTGGGCTCTAGTGAATCCATGTAATTTATGATATTTTGCAAAAAACAAGGATTTAACAATATTTAAAAGTTATGTTATGTGGACAAACTATTTGTAGCCAGTTGTTTTTACAATTACACTGGGGCTTTAAGATACAAGTTTAATCTGTTTCACAACAGCACTGGTGTGTCAATCCGCTCGATTGCATTTTCCCCATTAAAATTCCCTAAAACCCCATGAATTCATTCCAGGCCCCCAGAAATATATCATTACTTAGTTATATTTTGTTTTTTGATCAGAGTAAGAAGTTTAAGGAATTCATGAATTCCTGAAATAGAAACGTTTTATGTAGAATATATTTACAAGTGTTTGTATTTATCATTGTGTAGTCAGGCTCACATCTTTCCCAATGACATCTTTCAGGGCAGTGTTTCAGGCAGGAGGCCACAGGCTCCTTGTCCAGCAGCTCTCTGCCAGCTGTCCAAGGACGGTGGCCAACACCACTTCCATAATTGGCAACATGGCACAAAAACTGGGGATTCGCAACAGCCTTTTAGCACATGGAGCCATGAGAGCTCTGGTGGAGCCCTTAAAGTCCAGAGACACAGTGATCCTGGTCAACGTCACACTGTGTGTGTCTCTACTGGCCTGTGACTTGGATGCAAGGGCTGAGGTTGGTATCTGCTCATTTGCACTTGGCATTTTCTGGACAGAAATTCCCATCTTGCTGAATCAAATGTTAAATTCAACAACTTTTTCACTTGTATGGTATGTAATATGATCCTGCAGAGTGGCTAAAGCTCACCTTTTCTCCACATAGCTACAGAGCGCTGGAGGCCTCCCACCACTTGTCAGTTTGCTGAGGTCCAACCACAGGGAGGTGCTGCACAACACATGCATGGCAGTCACTGCCTGTGCCCGTGATGAGTCGTTGGCTGTGGAGATGTGCAGATATGGGTAAGACATAGTGAGATAGCATGAGATCATGAAAATGAGTTGGGAATATATAAAACATGAAACATTTTACAACTTCAGCAGTAGAGGAGCTATTCTCATAAATGGCCAGGAGATGGCAGCATTTGGCAGTCTTAAACACTGATATGAGTGTAGGTTAACTTTTTCCAAATGCATTTGTAAATTACTGCAAATGTAAGATTCACTAGTAAATATTTAAATAGCAGTAAATATATGTTTGTGATGTGTGTATGTGATTCAGGGCCCTGGAGATTCTGCAGGAAATCAACCTGTCGTTCAACCGTCAGAGCGCTGTCAGCAAACAGGCCATGGTCAGTCTGCTCAACACCAACTTGTCTGTTAAATACAGTTTGCTGGGTCACTTGGAATCTACTGATGTTATCGGGGATGATTTCTATGATGCTGGGAAGGTGAGAATTGTTATGAAAATTTAGAAAAATATTATTTATTTTCAAGCCTTCTGACTGGTCATACACTTAACATCATGTCATTAATTACTCTGTTTCAGGCCCGTGCAGGACAAAGGGTCCTAACTTTGGCAGAACTCTATAAGGAGCCAGTCGGCCAATACAGACCGGTTCTTCTTATCAACACATCCCCAGAGTACGAGTCCCAAGCCACAGTCGTGATATAAATTCAGACTGTGTGTACAATTCCCTCTAAACTCACACATAATTTGATTGTACTAAAAACCAAATCATCTGTGCTTGGGTTTTGTTACCAGCAAGTTTCACGTCTTGGTTTACATACTAAAGTAAATGCAAATGTTTAGTCCACATTTCAGCCTGTATAATAAACAAAACAAACAAAAAGGAAACAACTGACTGAATCTGAAAATAATCCAGCAACAGAACAAATACTGGGGAAACATCAGGTTCCTGCTCTACCAATGCCACCTAGTTTGTCAGTACAATTTATAGTGGCTCTTAGTTCACCCTCCTCTTGTCTGCTCCAATCCAGTGCTCCACTTTTCTTTTCTTCCCCTTTTTCCTCTCCTGTTGCTTTCCTTACACCCCAATAGTGTGGCCTCCCAGGATAAATGATCCCATTTATTTTAAAGATGGCAACAGAGGCAGAGTAAAAGAGCTTTTGTGTTGAAGGAAATGGACCTGTGGACAACCATAAACACGCACAAGAGTGCACAGGCATGCAGGCTCGAAAGAGAAAAAAATGGAACGTGCTTTAAAAAATTGCCTATTTATCTGAGCAAATCCGTATGAAAAAATAACAAAATACATTACAGTACATACAAGAAACATAATACATCAATAATTGCTACATATGAGGCCGTTGCAATTGCAAATGAAATACCCAAGGATGAACTGATTTTACTATAATAGGCTTTTTGTTTTTACATTTTTCTTTATTATATGATGTCAGGAAATCATAAGATGGTTTCATGTGCATTAGATGTCTAAACCAGTTTCTGCTAGTTTTACTTCATCAGTGGCAACTGACACAGTTGAAAAAACTCAATTCAATGTATTTCCCTGAGCCTTCCTTGACATTTCCTCTTCAATTTAGTGTGTCTTTGTACAGACAGAAAAATGACTCCCAGTCTGAGTCTCCTGAACAGAAGCCCTGGAAGATGGTGGAGGACGCCGTCTTGCAAAGTCTGATTAGAAAAGTGAAAGAATCAATCCTCCTAAAGGAAGATCAACATGAGCAGTACACTGCATTGGCCAGGTGATGAAATGTTGCAGGTTATAGTCGTTTCACCAACATGCAGAGAGTACAATGTCAGTTCTGTTGTAACTTAAAATGAAACTAAAAATGTATTTATGGTGCCAGGTTGGTGAGTGAAGCCATGGGCGGAGAAGTGGAGAGGGAAAAACTTCATGAATTCACATGGGTGCTGCATATCAGTGAGCTCAAGTCTCAGCTTCAGTCCAATGTCATTCCCATTGGATTCATCAAAAAAGGAATCTACTGCCACAGGGCGCTTCTCTTCAAGGTAGAGTCCCATCCTGTTCCTTTGGTTCTCATTTTTTTCATCGACCATGTTTAGTATTTTTATACTCTCTCTGCCTTTAATGAACAAATTCCAATACAACTATCTCCTGTTTTTCACTTTTCAGTTTCTGGCTGATAGCATTGGCTTGAGCTGCACACTCGTCAGTGGAGACTATAATCGAGCCTGGAACGAGGTGCTGCTCTTTAATCAGAAGCCCTCCATCATCCCTGATGAGTGCTATTTACCACCAACGCGCTACATCATTGACCTCATGCACCAGCCTGGACACCTATTGGAGAATAATTCACCTGCTGCTGTGAAGTACCAGACAATATAAGAAAATATACCAAGTTGGGGGCTGTGGCCAGCTGGTGACCTCTGGCATGTTATAAACACTATTATTTGAATGAAAGATTACTCTAATGTAATTATTGAGAGGGTAATATTGCAAATGTGTATCTGAAAAAAATGCTGGTTTAATGGTCAACAACCATTTTTGCATCATGTAGGAAAGAGACTAGCTTTAGAATAAACTGTTATTACTGACATGAAACAAAAATAAAATGCATAACAATATAACTCACCAAAGTTCTGAAATGCTTCCCTGTCGTTATTTCTCTGCAACAACAAAGTCCAATTTGAAGTAAAGGGAGACATTGACCTTTCATTCATCCTGCCCACAGGGTAATATGGTTTTGGCATTTGTCACTGCCATTTTAAAGCTTAAATCAAAGGGCACAGACAGATCTAAGTGTGAGAAAACCTGGAAATTTTGTAAAGGTAAAGTCACAAATTCAAATAAATGGTAACATGTATTCTTTGTGTATGGCCTGCTCCAGGTCCAAGTCCACTACCCTTGTATTTTCTTTCTAAGTTTTCAGTTTAATTATCTTTTTATTATGTATATACTTTTTTTTAGTGTGTATAATAGAGGTTTTTCTTCTTCAATAAAAACAGGGAAGCACAATGAACCAAAACCCTTTTCCCCTCAAACATGCCATCATGTAGAAACAGGAAGCCAAACTGTACAGTAAACAGGGCCAAGACCAATCATATTTATAGACTTTCTTAAAGAAACCAAATGTTTGCTGTGGAACTGGAGCACACAACCAGGAAAAGAGAAACTGATCTGAAGTGATAGCAGCTGCTGATAGCATTTCATGGTGAAACAGTGGTGCACTTTACTGATGCCAACTCTGTTGAGAGCACCAGCATTCCAAATGCAACCAGAGCCTGAACTGATCTGTGCCAGTACTTAGCTCAGTGGGTATTCCAAATGTGTAACTGTCGGCTGTAGGTCCTTCAAACAAGAGCTTATCTGCATGCAGTGACTGCGAACATCTGGTTTCAAAATCCCAAAATGATACAGACGAAAATGCATATATATTATAATGCACACACACACACACACATATATATATATATATATACACACACACACATATATATACATATATATATATATATATATGTGTGTGTGTGTATATATATATATATATATGTGTGTGTGTGTATATATATATATATATATGTATATATATGTGTGTGTGTGTATATATATATATATATATATATATATAGCTTACCTATATTTACCTTGAAAACGTAGCTTCAGTTTACACCCGGAAAACAACAGCACCCATAAAGCATCATGGGAGACATGGGGAGGCTTGAAAATGAATAAATAGTCAGTCTGGAGGATGATTCTACTGGCTGGGTAAAAATAGCTCTGTTCCATGTAGCTCTTCAAAAGCCACTAACCACTTACTAACTTTTACACTAAATCCCTCAAATACAACCTTCACTCATGTCATACCACATAAATAAAAATGTTTGATAATGATTATGAGCTACGCTAACGGTGCTCAAGAGCACAACTGTGCTTCTTCTTCATCGGAATTGAAAAACTATGCGTCCTATGAGGAGCACTGCTGCCACCTACTGGGTATATTTTTCACTGACAGAAAAAATACGTTCAGAATTTAAATTGTGAATATTATAATTTTAATTTGTAATTGATTCAAACGTTAAATTAAAATGTCAATTATTTTGACTTTCTTTTTAAATATTTATATTTTTAGGTTGGATCACACCCAGGACATTTTTTCTGTCAATCGCATTATCTCGTTGAGAGACAACCATTCACAGAGATTTAGATTTACACTTGTCGTCAATTTAAGATGCAAAAAATAACACTTAATTAATAACACGTCTCTTAATCCCATAAATTGTGTTCGGAACATGGGAATAAATGCAACACAGGTAAACCATAAATCAACGACAAAACAACAGGGGATTGAACTAGTTACTGTTTTGTTGATAGATAAAAAACACAACTTATTACTGCTTATTTGTACCACTTCATCCTTTTGTATTGTGCATCTTAATTTTTTTATTCTACTGTCACTTTGGAAATTAGTGTTGTTTTTATAAAAATATCAATATAAAAATATATTCCTATTAGTTTATATTACGCAAAAAAAAACTGTTCATACTTTAATGCTGTGGGTAATCGACATATACTTGGTACACTTTGACCCAAAAAACCGTCTCCTCGTGTTGTTTCTAACCGGTTAACCCAGCAGCCTTGATCAGCCCATATAGGAACAGCGCATAAACAGTCAGGACGCACTTGTCTTTGACCGAGTCCAGTTGAAGAATATAAACGGTCAAACACACTGAGATCAGCAGCAGGTGCCGCAGCAGCAGCAACAGAAGCAGCAGGAGAAGAAGAGAACATGTCCCGATTCATCGCGCGTCTCGTCCTTATTTCTCAGCGGGCTGCGATCACCAGCTCGGCGTTGTCACCCAGGAGAATCCCACGGCTCCTCATTCGCCCCGTATCCACATGTCAAGGTAATGTTTGTGGTTTCCTTATTTGGCACGACTCGCTCCCATTTTGCTGATCGCTGCAGGACAGTTGCACCGCCGTGCTACTTCGGATCGCATGTTAAAGGGGCAGTAAAATTTACTGGTAAAAATGGATTTAACTTTTGAAGTTAGTGTGACTATTTTTTTATATTACGTTTGCACAGAGATTCAGTGAGCTGTTTGTTTGGTGTTGATGATTTAACAGGCCACTTGCTTAACATTTAGAATTTAGTTTTGCCTTTAATTAATCTATTGATCCAACACGCGTTTTGCTGTTTTTTCCCTGTAATTGAACACAGCGGGTCACTTGGTCCCTATACAGCAATAAATTAAGTTCCTTCAGTTGTCCACATCTGTTGTCCATAAAATGGGCCACAACCCAGCTTAACATTTGGCCCTTGACTTCACAGAAGCAAGAAAAAACAATTCAAGTCAAGGATTATGGCACAGTTTGTTGATACATGTGGTCCATCATTGGACCAGACCGGTTTTATCTGAACTTTCTTCTTACACTTTGATGTTATAATTCACATACATCAAGGTGCTTCACAGAGACTCTCCCCCAATCCTCATTAAAGTGGGGTAAATCCTTATGTACTGATATACAAAATGCACCTGTATGTCTTATTACTGTGTGTAAAACATTAAATGTGTTCCTTTTACTCATTCAGAGTTATTTATACTTGAAATAATATGTAGTAGTTGAATGTCTGATATACAGTATCCTGGTATTTCATACTTTTTGCCATCAAATAAATGAAATTGTTGGACACATTCTGTGACCTGTCCACTGTATCTGATGCTGTCTACAGGTCTTTGCTCTCTCACCCGCTACGATGAGACCACAGACTGGCAAAAGAAACTCACTCCAGAGCAGTATGTAGTTACCAGGGAGAAGGGCACAGAAGAGGTGAGTTTCACAATACTACATGGAAATGTAAACATTCACATCAGCACAGGGATGTGTGTCAAACCAACACTATCTCAGTCTGCCAGAGTGACATCCGTACTGGACTTTGATTACAGCTGCCTTATTACTGACCTTAGACAGGCTTGAACTGCCTGGTTACAACTCAGAGCTGTTCAAACCTGTGAACTTGAAAGATAACAAAGTCTTTTTTTTTAGGTCGAGGACATTAGAAACTTATAATAATTTAAGCTGAAACTCTGAGTTTCTATTATTAACTCTGGGTGTGTTTGTGGGTTCTCACAGCCCTTTAGTGGCATCTATCTCAACCATTATGAAGTGGGGATGTACCACTGTGTCTGCTGCAACACACCACTCTTCAGGTAACAATTAGCACACACTATTTTTTTTAATCACCCGTAAAGGTTTAGCCCTAATCAGTTTTTTACAACAAGAATTCACAACTTTATTCTCAGATTCGAACATGTAGTTATCTGATTTATAGTCCACGTTAAATGTTTCTTATTATTATGTTCCATTTCCTTTTACCAGCTCAGAAGCTAAGTATGACTCGGGGACGGGTTGGCCTGCTTTCAAAGAGGCTCATGGCACCTGGGGACATGACGAGAGCCATGCGTCCATCATTCGGCGCCCTGACAACAGCATGGGCAGCACTGGGACTGAGGTTCTTTGTAAAAATGTGAGTTGTTTCTTTATCACCTCCTAAGAAAACAAATTGAATATGAATGTTTTGGTTGATATTTCACTGTTTAAACTTGGTTTAAGTTTGTAACTAAATATTTTCATGAAACATTTCAAATAAATAAAGACACATTTATGGTGTCTTGTGCAGTGTGACGCCCACCTGGGACATGTCTTCGAAGATGGACCAGAACCAACAGGTCAGAGGTTTTGTATTAACAGCGTAGCCCTGGCGTTTAAACCCAAAGGAAACAAGACTCCTGAGGAAAACTGACAAACACCATGGACTGGAAACACACTCGCTGTATGTTGGGCATTGGTTTTGAGGAAGGGCTCAATGTCTAGAGTTAGTGATTGATTAAAAGATTTTAAAGGTCAAAAGGTGAAGGTAAATAATTAACATAAGTTGAAAATGAACTCTCTTTCTTAAACAAGAAGACCCTCAGTATGTGCCACAAACATATTGACTGAAAAAACAACAAACAAATGTGCTTATCTAAAACAGTATCACACAACAACATACATTAATCCAAATTCAAATTTAGTTGAAACTATGACCTAGATTGTCAATGAAAATTGTTATTTTTAATTATTTTGTTTTTAATCCAATTATTACCTAGATATTGTATTGTTTTAAATAACCTATGTATGTAAAAAAGGAAATTGTATTTTTCTGTGTAAGTTTCAAAGTGTGAACACGTTATTCCTTTAGAGACAGTAACATACATTAAACCCTAATGTTTTCTATTTACTGTAATTTGATGATGCAGAGATAATTATTAATAAATGCAAAGTCTACAAAGCTACGGGTTGACTGTTAAGCATAAATAGAAAACAAACGAACAAAAAAACGTAATCGAGAACGTAGGGGTGTCCTCTACTGGCCATTCCTCCACATGGCACAATGACCTTCTCTGAATGTAGATCAGTTAATATTTAACACACGCTGTCTGGGAAAATTTGACAGTTTTGATAATGTTTGTCTTTACATTGTAACATTAATTTTCCTGGAATTACCAAAATAAGTTAAGTAACTTAATATAGACTGAACTAATAAAACATGTTTTTGTATTATTGCTTGCTTAGAATAAGAAACACTTACACACAAAAAAGAAGACAAACAAGAGAACACGCAACCCGCTCCATAGAAAAGTAAGACAAGGATCATTCACCCAGCTGTCATAGGCACTATCAACCGCTAGAGGTCAGTACACAGCTAACGATTGGTCGTGACGACCTGATGATAGATAGATAGATGAACGATGAGACTGGGATGAGAATGGGGACGGCCCAGCAACTAACACCAGAAACCACCTAATTACCACTATGACAATAAGAGAATAATAAAGACCTTAAGGAAGGCCTTCAGATATGACGCCCAAGTTAATCTCTTCTCAGCTTTTTATTTATTTATTTTATTAGAGAAAGGGTTATGAAAGCAAATACTTGCTACCGTGTGCATAAAAATACTGCAGGATTAATCCACTGACACCAGAATTCAACATCCAGCCTTGTTTACATTTTCTAATGATGCTTAATCTTCCATTAACAAGGTTTTCTTATGGTCCAAAAACCAAGTAAAAAAATTCTCTGAATAAAAATTAAATAAACTGACCAATAATATGGCCTGTTATTGTATATTTTACAACAGCCATTCCAACTGATTAACACCTTATGGTTAAACACAGATAATTAAATTACTTTTTAATAGATTTTTTAGAAATCAGGCCAAAGTGAAGAGACTGATCTGATCTCTGACCAGGTTAATATTTAACAGGACAGGTCATCTCCTCTCGTTGCTCTGTCTGTTTTTCACTGTTTGTCTGTGACTCACAGAGCAGATTAAAAAAAGTTAACAGAAGGTCTGACTCTTAAGGGAGCTGTTTTAAGGATGGCTGGAGTTTGGCAGTGCTTGTTGGCGACTTTAGCGTTGATGTGTGTGTGTTTATGGGGTGTCAGCGAGGCTGTAGGCGGGGCAGCGAGTCGACCGCGGCCCAAAAGGCCCACAAGGAAACCAAAGGAACCCCCTACTGAAGTGACAACACCAGCACAAGACGTAGACATCGACCAGGTAGATCTGAAAACTGTATATAAACCCTTCAGTCGTATATTTTAATGTGTGTGTGTTATCACTTCTATCACCAGGCAGAAAATAAAAAAGTATATAAAAGCTACAAAGGGTATTATGACAATAAAATACAACCTCACTGTTTGATATTCACACAATGGTGGTTTGGTAGAAAAATAACCACTGACAATTGTAAGCAAACTGTTAAGACTGTGGCTGATTCAGCCATTGTTTATACAAAATGGGAAAATGTCATATTTTAGGGGTTTGACCTCAGTAAAGTATTCAAGTAATTTATTTTCCTTCCAAACACACAAACATATGATTCTGCTTAGTCATGGATTAACGTGGGGGTGGCTCGTTGGACACACTTGTGTAATTGTGTCAATATGGGGATTTGAGCAATATTGGTAACTACCAGTGAAGCTGAAGAGAAGAGAAAATACAGATAGTTTAAGTAATGTTGTTGTTATTGTTCAGGCTACAACTACATTTTTCTTCTTGGAGATAAAAGTTATTGTACTGTTGTTTAGGGTACTATTGTTTTGTAGTAATTTTTGGCAACGGGAGAATGTGACTGTGAACAAATGATTGCAGATGCGAGACAGAATGAATAACAGTTTCACTTTGTCTAGATGACAGGAACATGGTACCTGCTCAACACGGCCTCCAAATGCTCCTATTTGATCAATCATGGGACTAAAGTGGAGCCGACAGTCATACACATCACACGTCTGTCTCCCACTGAGCAAACATTGTCTGTTAGCACTAAAACAAGACAGTGAGTAGTACTTTAATCTACACGTGTGAGCATGAACTTCTCGGATTTGTTACTGAAATGTATCAACTCCCTCCCCCCTCCTCTCCTCTCCTCAGTGGCCACCAGTGTTGGGAAATTCTTCAGGTCTACAATCTAACACCAACCCCGGGACGACTCATACTTAAAGGTCACTCTTACTTCATTGGTCATGATCTCTTTCTGCTAAAATCTCAGCTTCATCTTTTAATGACATGATCTTACTGTGCTGCTGTAATGTTTGCTCCAGGAGCACGTGCAGAACTGAACACAGACATAATCATCGGGGAGACGGACTACAACTCATACGCTGTCATTTACTACCAGAAAAGAGGAAAAATAACCATGAAACTCTATGGTGCGATCACATTATTTTCTACACTGAGTTTTCACTTCTAGCGTAAGAATTCATGACACCTTGTTTTTGCACACAGGTAGGTCTGTTGATGAGCTGTCGGAGCCGATGTTGGCCAAGTTCGAGCAGCTCGCAGAGAAACAGAAGTTTGGACTTGCATACCTCTTTCCATTTCCCACCTACAGTACGTCAACTTTAGATGAAAATAACAAAATAAAATAAACTGTGTTAGAGATGGCAAAATATAATACAGGCCAGATAAACTCTGGAGTATACTTTAGAGACATACTATGTACTGTAATGTTTTGTAGGTCATGATAACAAAATGGAACCACTTAAATATATTTGTATGATGCATTTTTATAGAACACTTTTTATAATGTGTAATAATAATATATGGGGAATGTGCTACAAAATGCAGTAAACTTGAATAATGTGCCTACATCCGTGTGTTTTAACTGTAAAACTTGACTACTAAATAAGTAATTAATTAGAATCGTATTGCAAACTATTATTTCTTATTGTAATTATTTAGTTAGAAAGACAAATATCTCTAGTCTAAATGAATACAGGCAGAAAAAACCTATTGCTCATAAAACAGCCTGTTTTCATCCTCACAATATCAGAAATATTTCATATAGGACACCCTTGTCCAAACCAAAATTCTGAACCTAAAAGAGTTGATATTTAATCTGTCACAAATGTAATGCATATTAATAACAGTCTTTTTAACTCACTGCATTATTGTTGTTGTCCCCTGCCCCCTTCAGGTCACTGTGGTGACGTGGACAAAGATCACATCATTAGTGAGTAAAATGTTAATTTGTAGTTATCTTTTACCAGCGGTCCCCTCAGGGGGGGTCAGCATAATGACTTCTACACCTGCATGCCCTTGAGGGGATTTAGGGACCAGGTGATACTCTACTGATCCAGATCTTTCTTCCTTGGCTTCACTACCACAGCCTAATTTTTCAGTTATTTTGTTAAAGTTATGTGAATCTCATATTGGTGAATCTCATATTGACTGTAGCACGAGTTCTCCTCTGTATTGTAAGTCTCACATCCTGGACACATATATACACATTTAACTTTTTCTCTGTTCTACAGACTGCATCCCTACATGTTGAAGAATCAGAGAAACGTCCTGATCCCAACTTCCAGAGATCAGTGGTTCTTTTTCAACTGTTGAATAAATAATGAAAAACAAAAACAGTTTTTGCATTGAATTGATACTGTTGTCTATCTGACATTTGCATGGAATGTTTCACAACAAAATTATACAATCTTTTATTGTGTGAAGAATTGAACTAACTTTTTTTAGTGATATAACTCTGCACTTTTGGATGGGAGTGCTGGAGACAAAGAGAGAGAGGGTGGGCCGGGGTTGGGCTGGAAGGGCAGCAGTTAATGAAGAGCAGATGTGAATATCAAAAGAAGTCCACAAGAGTTTGGCTGCATTTTTGACGACCCAGCATGCTAGCTGTCTCCACCCAGCACTGCCTTATGTATGTGTCTGTTTTTGTTATGTAACAGGTTGAAGAAGTCGGTTTTGTCCTCTTACAAAACAAGAGAGACTTTCAGTAAAAAGGTTTCTTAAGGTCAACAAATAAAGTGAACAAATCAATAAGAAAAAAACCCCACAAAAAAACCCAAACAAAAACAAAACAGATGTGTTATTTTGATTGAAATATTTGTTTCTCACAGGGCCAACAATATATTTTGTATATAGCACTGCTGGTTTATTATAGAATTATATTATAAGGTACACACAATAAAGGGACAATAATGTTATATACGTTTTCCATAAATTATTATCATTTCATTCTTTTAATGAATAAAGTTTTTTTTTTCTTTTATAAACCAACCCACATTTCCAACATTTTCTTTAATTATTCTCCAATGCAAACAGTCGAATGGGGATGCCTGTTAAATATTATCAACACAGGACAGTTGTGTAACTGCTGATTTTTTTGTCTGAGGCCAGAGGGGTTTTTTATGCAAAGGTTAGCAGTAAGTAGGCAGGAGTAGAAAAAGGAGGAGGAGAGTCAGAAGAGCAAGGGGGAACTCTGAAGGATATAAGGAACCACCACTCACCCTGCTGTCTGTTACTTCACCCACTGCTGGAGCCACTAGGGAACATGGAGAAGTCAGTGCTGAAGATGCTCGGCACCTTGATGTGTGCTCTGTCCGCCTGCGCTGTCGTGGTTCCGGTTCAAGACTTTGACCTGCAGAAGGTAAGTGGAAAAGGCATTAGATACAACAATGATGTCATTTTTCAAGAGGTAAACATTATGTTTAAAATCAGAGACAATACTTTACTGGAATGCAGTGGAACATATAGTGTAGTTTAGATTCTAAAATGTATAATAATGCAAGTTTTTGTTTTTCATTTTTAAGATAGCAGGCAAGTGGTACATTGCTGGAATGGCTTCCAACGCTGATTGGTTTGTGACCCATAAAGCAGACATGAAGATGGGAACTGCTGTGTTAGTGGCCACAGCTGAAGGAGACCTGGATTTCTCCTACGCTTCGCTGAAGTAAGAAGAAACCAAAACAAGTTTTATTCCCTTTCCGAGCATCATGACATTTGTTAAAATAGGATTTAACAAAAAATTCAAATCCCACTTCAGATCCGATGGCACCTGCTGGAGACAGCACAACCTGGCCAACAAAACTGAGACTCCCGGACGGTTCACCTTTACGAGCCCAGTTTGGAACAACGAGAACGACATGCGCTTTGTTGATGTCCAGTCTGATGACTATGCCGTTGTCTACACTATCAAGACAAAGGCTGGAGTGTCTGATGTCCTGACCGAGCTTTACAGTAAGTTAATGGTTGATTTGTGTCTAAGACAAATCGTAGTAAACAATAAAGGAAACAAACTTATATTTGGTTGTTTTTGGTTTGTTTTTAACAGGAAAGAGCCCAGAAGTGAGTGAAGAGCTGCAGCAGAAGTTCAAACAGTTTTCTCAGGACAACGGCGTGCTGTCTGAAAACATTGTGATTTTGCCCAAAAATGGTGAGTAAACAATTGAGGACAACAACAACAACAACAAAAAAAATGTTTTTCTTTTCATGAACGTATTATGTACATATTCAAACTCTGAACTATACAATGTCTTTTACCACAGATGAATGCCCCGAGGCCTGAAGAAGGCATCTTCCAGTTTCCATCATAAAAGTCTCAGTTCCACTTTTCTCTGCGTTGGATGTCATTTCTGAGGAACTTCAGCAAATAACGTGACACTTGAAGTTTTTGCCAGTTCCTGTAGTGAAACAAAGATCATTAAAAGCACAAGACAATAAAAATCTAAACATGACTGTTAACCATGACATATAATTTTGTGAATGCATTTCATTGCTTTCTGTCAATCTTCCTTTAATAAAATGACATTTACAAATAAGTGAACAGACTGCTCTGTGAAGTACAACTTAACTTTTAGATCTTGGTAATACTGTGATGAAGTTACATGTTGTGGTTAAATGAGGTAATAGAGAATCACACATTAACGTGACCAATAAGATGAGTGAAAGCTGAAAACAAGCTGCTCTTAGGTTAAATAGATGTGGAAGTGAATCCTACTTCCCCGTTCACACAGGTCACAACATGTCTTTTAAATGTTTTTTTTTCAGGTTGGAGAAAACAAATCTAAACTGTTACTAAGAGTGAAAACATTTCCACAGATTCCACTTCACTTTGGTGAAGTGATGTTTGCTCTGATTCCAGTAGTAACATGCAAAGGCAAACATCAGGTCAAACGGTTCTAAAATATTAAAAATTTCAGATGTTTTCGTTATTAAAAGAGAATCCTTAAACACTACATCTTAGAACCCTCTGACCCACTCTCATGATAAAAGAGAGAGCCTTATGATTACGTACATTGTTTTTTCTAGAAAACAGTTTGAACACGTGTATTGTTGACTCAGTCGTCTGTGTTGTTTTGTCTCGTATCGCATTGACAACAGATGTTGAGGAACAGATGTTTTGCAAATCGCTTTAAGAACACTGGGTCAAGCCAGAGCACACGCAATATTTCGTTCTGTCAAACGCATTGCGTTTTGTGCACATTTCAGTAGGAGTAGAAGGAGTTTAGTAATAAATGTCATTTCTCTTCTTACAACAACATAACGCATTATAACCCAGAATGGTTTGTGGCGAGGAACAGCGTCAAGAATGCCCAGGTTAAATAAACTCCAAGCATGTTTTAAGACAGTATAACTATTAAAGGGCATTCTCTGATATAAAAGAGTCGACAGAGGTCAGGTAATAACACCTTGAAAGGAAAATAAAAGTCAGTAAAAGGCCATAAATGGCTGTTGCTGAAACCAAGAAGAGTGACCAGGGGGAGGCACTATTGCCACCAAGTAATGGCCACTGCCTTCAAACAGGAAGGAAGTAGAAACAGGAAAGAAAGAAGAAGAAAAAGACAAAGATCAAACACTCTTTATTAAACGCAATAAGTCAAAGGTCAACATTTTGGTTATGGATTTGTTTGATGGAGGTGAGAATCCAACACGTGTTGAGGCTTTGTTTGATGGTATCAAATAATACTTCTATTGTAAAAAGTAAAAGTAGGTTCACTTGCCCTTAGGGATTGATGTGAGGAGAAAGAAAGTATTCTTTGAGGCTACAGGAGAAGGCGGACTGGCTGCACCAGTCATCCCAGACAGAGCACTGTCCTATTATTAGACCTAATTGGATTTGACATGAATAATAAATATTATGAGCTATAATTGTATATTATATATAATTAACTTAATTTGACCACAGTTGGTTTTCAGATGGTAAAACATTGACAGTTGTAAATGTTGTGGTAATAAAAGCCCATAAATACCGACAGGAGAGAAACACAGGTTAAACAATTGCAAATAAAGTAAATCAACAGTGAGAGAAAGTAGTTGTCTTTTCTTTTAAATAAATTTGGAAGAAAATAATATTATTCAGAATCTGAAGTCTGTGGTTATGACAATTTAGGAAAAACAACTCATGTTAAATTCTTACGCTGAGTGAGACTGTGAGAAAAATGTAAGGGTTCAAGATCCTGAAGGCATCACGGATGAGTAAACCAGTTAGGATTTTTACCTTCAATGAATCTTGAACTTGTCAAGAGAGAGATTGTATTTGTTCAGAGCTACTTACACGGTAAAAGGCATGCATCCTGGCCTTAAATCCTCGGAAGAATGGAAACCTATACTGCAGACAACGTAACTGTTGAGATTTAAAGATTAGAAGTGAAATATATTCAATGAAAAACAATCTGACGACATGAAACTCAGGAGACTGACTGTTAAAACTCACAGGTGAAAAATGAACCCTTGTGTCACTAACCAAAAATGTGTGTCATGTTTACCCATCACGCACCGAGAAACCCCTCTCTGCTCAGAAAAAGGTGTCCCATACAATCCAATGTCATAAAATATAAACATAAATCTCTGTACTTCACACACACATTTATATATAACATGGGTAAACTTATATAAATGCAATATAGATCTTTTAATTATTCATTAGTGTTGATTTTAACGACTCTGAATAAATCTTAAAGAAAATAACACCAACATAAAATATCATATTTACACATGTCATTTGGCGTTATGGCCTACGTAGCTCCACCATCAGTGATATGAGGGCGACAGACAAACTTGTCCTGAAGAAATCTAAAAAAAAAAAAAAAAAAGAATATTTGGCATGTTCATTTCATTAAGTATGGTCCAAGGTATCTGTATAAAACTAAATTAAAATGCAACAAGGTCGGGCTTGAAATCTGCGCTATCACATGACCCAGTTAAGTATATTTATGTGTCATATACGGTATTCAAAGCACTCCTGAAAACTCCCAAGCACGATACAAAGAAGGACAAGCTGGTTAGTATATACATGGAGAGTCTCTTATAGCTGTGCCCCACTTCTCCTCTCTCTAATACTCTGGATATATAAAAAATAAAACAAACAAACAAACAAAAACCAAAAGAAAAGAGTTTTCTGTACAGGTCAGCCCCACGTCCTCGCCTCCTCCAGGAGACCATTGTCCTGCTGACTGGCTCTTCCACTGCACCTGTGATTGGTCACTGAGTAAAACCTCCTCTCTCTCAGCAAATTGTTAGTCACTCAAATCACGTCGTCTCCCCCAGTGTTCCACACAGGCACGGTTAGATGAACCACTCCTTTTTGGACTCGTCAATAGTCTCTGGGTTATCGGTGCCGATAATGGCCGTGTCTGCCGATTCTGCGGCCGATTCGCCGCTGCCCTTGGCCTCGTTGGTGTGATAGGTGCCTTTGTGACGAAACATGTAGCGGATCAGGAACACCAGGGTACAGAGGATGGTGAAGATGACCACCGCGATGATACCTGCACAGGACAGGGACACATACACAGGAAAGTACTAAGTACTAAACACATGAATAACTAGATAGATGGAGCAGTAAATGCAAGAATATAGAAGAAAGAATATAGAAGATGCAGTATTGTGTCCATTTGAATGGAAATATATAAAACAAATATTCTACATCTAACAGTTTTTGATTTTCTCATGACTTGGTTTATTATATTGAAATTGTTATGATTTATAAGGTTAGCATTGTGTTTAATAGAAAACCAACCAAAACCAGACATTTTCACCTTGAAGTGATAGTCACCAAGAAAGTCCAAGAAAATGTTAAGAAGAAAAGACTATTATTTCTTCCCCGTGCCATTAAAACACAACCACCACCTGATATATACAGTATTATATGTACTTACAGAAGTATTCAGACACACAGTCCATCTTCAGATTCAGAAACAAACAAATACAAACCTGATTCACATTCAATCAAGTCACAAACAAATAAGATGATAAATTCAATGAAAGGAAACTAATTTTGCACATACTGTAATAAAGATGAACTAAGTCACCACCAGATTGCCACTTGAAGCAAAAGTAACTGCATAATATAATAATAGTACAACAAGAGTACTTTACTCAAGATTAATTGTTACATTTACAGCTGTTAATTTTAAACAATATTTTATTATTCTAGTAGGATGATAGCACGTTGGAAAACATCACCATATGTTGACACGGCAAAGATTTTCACTCCTTGTGTCTGTCGCACAATCATCGGTGATACATTTTATCATTCATCATTTTTTCTCGAAAACCTGGGAAATTGAGGAGTATCATTTAGTTGATCAGTGAAATCCAAAAACAAAATATCTATAAATGGGTTATTTTCTAATTTTATTTCACAAGTACAGGGAAGCGAAAGGCGGGGGTGGGGTTATGGCCTACCTCCGATGATGGCTGAGTCCCTGTTGACTCCATCAGGGATCACTCTCTCCTCATTAAAAGGGAACTCTGCATCTGTGGAGACAAATCAGAGACACCCAGAGACATTCCTTTAACATTTGTTTAACATTCGTACAGAATGTTAACAGAGGCACACTGGACCAATGGCCTCACAGTCCTACAATCATCTCATGTATATCTGAATTAACAGCATCAAACAATTAAAACAGAACACACTGCACTGTGTGCTGTGTCACAGCAGAGGAAAACAGACACACTCTCCTCTGTCCTGACGTCAGCTTTATTATTGGACTTAATTTAATGTCCTAATATCCATGAGCGGCTGCAGAAGACAGCTGCTCCTTCTGCTCGTCCACAACAGTTCTCCTCCAGCAGCCACTATCTAACTACTTGGATTTACCCTTCACAAAAAAATGTAATGTAATGACTGAAAACAGAAAGGGGCGAGGAGGTAACAGGGATGAGGTGGTAAAGGCAATTATGTATGATTTATCATTTTGTTCTAGGTCAGAGTTCATACATTTTAATTGTATTTCCAACTTGGCTCTTGGCTCAAATACTATTGGTTTATGTGAAACAAATCTCTCTACTACAGGCTTGTTATTGCAGACCCTAAGTTATGACATCTAATACGGCCCCAGCATTTAGTGTTGGCAATCACACTCAGATGTATTAGCTCTGTAAACAACAAGATCGTGAAAGTGGAACCAAACAGTACTTGCACAGAACTGAAGACACAGAAGACAGGTTTGTTTAAGCTGCTGGATTAACTGAACCCAACCTGTGTTAGATTTGAATGGATCAGGTTTTTCAACCCTCAAAATGAACTATTTTGAAATCACAGCAAACATCAGACTTTTGACCTGTAAAAATTATTGAAGGTCGGCAAGAGGTTCTGATCTGGTTCCATCCCATTATTTCTTTTATTAAAATGGAAAGAGCATTTTAAAGAAGTTCAATGTCATATCTTTACATGAGTCAGAGAAGCAGGTTGTGACCTTGTGTGTACAACATCACCCAGAGTACTATAAAGAAAAAATCCCCAGAGCAAAAAAAAAACCCACTTCCGTGTTCTGACTTAAAAGGATGTGAAGGACCTGTAGAGAAACAGTTTGTGTTACTCTGATAAATTAAGATGTTTTTTTTTCATAGGAAGACAGGAAAGCAGCCGGATGGAAAACAAATGATGTAAACAGGGAAAAGATAAGCAGCAAAAAGATGCATTTTGGTCTGTCAGACTGTTACATCAGTGTAAATAACTAAATAATGAAGAATGCAGAAGGAACGATCGCTACAGTAAAATGTATAAAGAAAACAGAAAAGTGTAAATAGAAAGAAGAAGTCAGACACTGTTTTTTATGACTGTTAGAAATGGAAAATGTACAGCAGAATAAATATTGATCATTTCTGATGATGGATGGAGAGCTGAGGGCTGGGTCAGACCTGGGGCCCAGATCAATTATCCATATTGATCAGGACTGAGCTTAACGTTCCCAAAGGAACAGTTGGCCCCAAGTCTGGGGAAAACGCCTACTTCCGGAATAATGTCAGGCTGGAATAACCAAAGTGATGTGAAGTAGTGGAAACGAGGACCAGAGTTTTGAGGTTAATTTTTTTTTTACATAAAGTGATGTGAAATCTACTATTTTAGACTGTGACTACTTGATAAAAAGTTTTGAACAGTACATTAGTTTAATCTAACCAAAATACTCAAGGAGATGTCAGACCTGTGTTATCCAGACGCCAGGGATCAGTTGCAGCAGACATTGGTGGGATGGTCAGCGGTGATGCCCCACAGTTGGACTCCACTAACTTGCCGTGGTACGACACCTGTGATGTCACTGCAGACTGTGTGTCTATGTGACCGACTCCTGCTGCGACCTGCAACCTGGAAGATGTTCTCAACGCTGACTTGAGCGGTGCGAAGCCGTTGAACTGTACCCGCGACAAGCAGCCGACAAAGCCTGGGGTGTTGTAGCGTTCGATGAGCACCTGGTCCACGTTTCCGGTTTCTGCATGAAGACATTGATAGGAAAAAAACACTACTGATTTTTCTGGTGATACCGTGCACATAAATAGTAAACGAAGAAATAATGTAAAGCCAAAAAAAATAAATAAAAACAAATAATTGATATGTATATATAATCATATATATGTAAATACATTCAAACAGCACATGGTAGAATTACATTACCCATAATTCCAGTCTCCATGCTGGATCAGATTTCATGGCTCAGATATAGAGCAATGTGTTCCTTGGTTTTTCTTACTTTAATATAAAATGACTACTGTCTGATTCTGTGTCAACGTCCGTTAAATGTCAGATCATTTGTGGGTGAACTTTTGCTCTAAAGGTTATGCTACATAAAAACAGGTAGAAACCTGCACAGTCAGTGACATGAATATATTATACAGCAGACTGATGTAACACAGCCGTAACAAATTTGTGAAAACCCCCCCAAATCTATTCAGCCTGGTCAACAAAGCTCCCAAACAGAACAGGGATCTCTATAAATCAGGAACACATAAATGAATGTGACAAGGTGGGAAAGGGCGGGAGAAGAACATGACCTCCGATGTCTGATTAACATGATGAATAACAAAATCACAACCTCTGCATCTCGATGTCTCCTTGAGTTTGTCCTCTCATTTTTTACGAATTCTGGGATTCACCTTTAGTAATGAAGGGTTTGGGTTTCATTGAGGAGTGCTGAAGGAGGACGCAGCAATTTGAGACTCAGAGAACAGAGGAGGACATTATTAGGCTTCCCTAATCCCTGGATGGATGTTTTGTTACAGCAAACCTGGGCAAACAGATACGGCCCGCTGGTCTTTCTAATCCTTGAGCCTTCTTAAAGTTTTGTTGGGCACATGGTTGGCTGCTTAAAACGATACCACAAAAACAACTACTTAAAAGTGGCAAGTAGGCAAAATGGCAGTTTTCTTTTTTGCTGCGTCTGTTTAAGATCTGCACATTTTTTACTTTTTTTTCTGTCTCCATCTTTGTCTGTGTCCCAGATGAGCTCTGAACCAGAGGGAGAGAACATTACTTCAGCTCACAGGCATGCACAGATGGCTTCAGCAGAGGACAGACAGGAGAGATGAGGAGTGACAGGAAGCAAATTAAATAATTATACCAAATAGAATGAACCTAACACTTACAACATAAAGACAGAAAAAAAAATACAGACGTAAATTTGGAGTGAATTCTAAAACAGCTCTGATGGCACTGAAAAACAAAATCCATCTCTTCCACATCAATCTGGTCAGTGTTAGAGGTTGAGCCTGGTTTTAATTTGTTTCCTGGCTGCTCAGTTGCTGGACATCTGGGACACACCCAGAAAGAACTATTTGGACAAATCTGCAGCAAAATACGGATGAGGTTCAACAAACTGGAACTCTGCTGTGTGTATTTGTGTGAAATAAATTGTGTAAATTGTGTTGACGATGGGGATCAGAGTATCTGGACGTGGCTCATAATTCAATTGTCCTTCTTTTATTCCACGCTGTTTGCTCTGAAACAAGTGGCTTTTGTACACTATTGATTGTACTTC